TTTTTAACTCCTTAAAATCCCATGTTTACTACATACTAAGGCTTATTACTCAGTAACAGGGGCTTCAATGGAAACTGGCTGAGCTATTTTTATAGGTTATAGAAGTGTGCAATGAATCTTTGGGCCTGCCAGTAGGCCCTGGCCATTTAAGGACTTACATGGAAAAAGTGTTTCTTTAGTGTCAAATTTCAGCAAATAAGACAAGGCTGATTAATCAAAATTGGTTAAATCAAAATAAAGCAATTAAGTTGCGTTTGACAGCACTGGTTCATTTTAATTTGTTTGGCCATAGCTCTAATCTAAAGGCTACTAATACAACTATTAGTTGGAGCCCTAACCATACTGACAAAGTGAAGCAGTAAGGGATGGACGCATGTGAGTAGTTAAAGCTTCACTACAAACCAAACCAAGTCTAAATGAAAGAAAGTTTTACAGTAAATAAAATACTGAGGCAAACTCATCCCACTTTGGCAGCATGGGTCATTGCCATCCAATGCATAAAGAACATAATTGGGCATGATTAAAAGCAACAGTGAATCTGCTAATGCAAACAAAATGGAGTGATGACTGTTTTTTGAACTTGGAAAGGCACAACAAAACATGAATAATTCATTGTCATTTCTGGGCAAAATGTATGCATCGCTCAGCTCGTGCAGTTCCGGTAGATTAGGCAGAGCGGACCCCGCTCTCTAAGGGCATGCCATAACAGAGTGGCACTCGGAGGTAGTGAACTGTGTACGCTCAACTTGCTCTCCCTCACTCTCTTGCTTTCTCCTCATCCTCACACCCCCCTCCAAGCATCTTTATCTCTTTCCCTCCATCTCCAACAGAGCTCTATTGTGTGGCAACACATTGCTGGATCCCTCTTTTTTTTGCAAACAGCCATTAAATAATGGAACGTGCTTGGTCGACGGGCATCATTAATGAAACATGCAGGCTCTGGTGGCGGTAGGAGTAGACATGTAGCAGCTGTAAATAATTCAGTCTTCAAATATCACAGTGACGATCACGCCAAGGCTGGAGCAGAGTGGCGCCCATGCCACCTGCCGGCGAGAAGCCACGCGCATCTACGCTGACGCAGAGCAGGCCATTAGTGTGAGGCCAACAGTCGTGGAGCTAAGAGCAGCAGATAAAGCGCGAGACTGGCTTGAGGAAGGATCCGGTTTTATCTGGTCAAGAGCTGCAGCTAGAAATTGCCTGCCTCGCTAATGCAGGAGCTTTCAGAGAGGAAGTCATACACTTCAAGTGGCACATCAGCTGTGGACAAAATATTTACCCAGAAATACATGTGAAACCGAGTGACTTATCATGGCCACTTGTAAGTGGAGCACGTCGCTCAAACCCGTGCCCTCCTGCTGCAGAGGAAGCACTAGTAGGTTCTGGAGGATTGAAAGTAGTAAACAGTCAAGAGTGGAGACATTCGGCACTGTTAGCTGCTAATGGTCCTCAGTGTCACCGTTTACAGATCATTTACAGCTCAAGTGGGCAGCAGTTACAGAAGCTGAAGTCTAATTCTGGCTTATTTCATTGTGAAGTGACTAACTCGCTTGGCAGCATTCAAGTTAAATGCACATTACAAGCAGACATAGAAACAAACAGCGTGTATATTTAAAGCCAAGGCTTTGATGAGAAGACCCACAGTGGAAAATAATATTCAGTCAGATTAATTCAATAATAATAATAATAATATCAAAAAAATATCAAATTTGACTGACATATTGGTTGGCCAAAATTCCTGACCAATGGGTCAAATAAGGTTTTCAAACTAATGATTTAAAACATTCTTATTAAAAAAAGGATGGCATGTGCATTTAGTGCAAGAATGTATCCATTATATTAGCATTTGTTTCTTATCTTTTATAATAGTCAAAAATTCACGCACAACAGCATTGTCAGGTGCCACAGCCACATATTAATTAAAAATATATTTCATATTTATACAATACTAGATTTGAAACCAACTAAACCATTAAGAACTATGGGAAGCTCTGCATTTTCTGCTGTTTATTTGAATTTTAAAAGTTTGAAAGTTAAGAACTGACAATCACAATTGAAAATTCACAGTTGATAACCTTATTAAACACAGCGCCTTAAAAATCAGTCACAAATTCATATTGGCCAAGCCCTACTATGAATGAGCATGATCTAATAGCACTAGGCGAGAGCTCCCGCTGAGCTGACAGTGCACTTATGCTTGAGTGTGCCTGGGAGACAGTGGGCAGCGTGCACAGGGGCCTGCAGGTCTCATAGGCTCTTAGCTCATTCACCCTGCAGTGCACTTTGACTTTGATAGGACAGAAGCTTAACGGATACAGCAGCCCAACACCCACTCCCTCCCCACCAGCACCAGGCGCCAGTACAGACGCATCTTCACACAGACAGCATGGCGACATCACCCCTAATGGCCCTTATCTTAATCTGCTTTAAAAGCATCTTGCATTTCTCCAAGATCTTTTCACCTTTGCAAACCAACATTTAATAAGTGGGCCCTCCCCAGTTGCTTCCAGTTCATTTCAGCTGTGATCGAGCCAGACGATGAGGGGCATTGCAGTTTAATGGGGTCTAACTAAGAGGGGGGTCATTGTGTCAGAGCTGCTACAAACCACAGCTCTAGAGGCACCGTGAATAGTCTGTGTGGGTGTGTCTAGGGGGAGATGAACTAACAGAACCACATTGCCCCTCGGTGTCTGGTAGTGTTTCAGAGCACACACTTACACACATGCAAACACACACAGGATGTCGCCTTTAACGAGTGTTAGAAATCATGTAGAAGAGGCGCTTGGAGACAGCAGATACTCTGTCCTATTCCTCAGATGGGACTTAGAGGCTCCAGGACCTCCGCAGACTCACAGGCTCATATCAATCCCCAGTCTACTCAGCTTTCAGATTAAATATTCATTCAAACAGAGAAGCCATGTATACATCTAAACAATATGAGCAAAGAACCAGAGCCAATACAACCAGGAACTACATGAGCAAAGAACCAGAGCTGCACTAAAATGTGTTAAAACTAGAAATGATTATCCATCTGAATTTAGGACTGTATGATATGGACATATTTAATGTGATGTTTGATAAACCTGTTGGTAGGTGTGTGCACGTGTGTTGTTTTATATTTCCTCATAGGCCTACAAAATAAACATGGGGTTTCATTCTAAAATGCTGTGTATCCATTAGTAAAAAATTTGGACGTAACATATTTTTTAAAAGAACAATAGCTGATGTATAATGGAAAATATTTTTATTCTCTCTAATAAAGGTGATCTTAACAGTCATATAGCATCGATGTTTCTTATATGCGTAAAGTCCGCACTCCCAGCTAAGTATTATTTAAGACTTTCAATTCTTGTATGTTAAGAAGCCCAATTTTGCTCACATTTGCAGTGGGGTATTTCTTTTTTGTGAGAGTTTAACTGAAAAAAAGCCACAGTCCTGCACGAGCCATGTTGTTACACCTTTACTCCTGTACTCCCTGTAGGACGGCATCCTTTTAAGCTCCTTTTAAGCCTCAGCAGTCACTAAAAAAAATCAGACTGGTATCGCAGTATTGTGTCATCCCCAGTTGAAACATAGAGCTTCACTAAAATAAATTTCTTCATACAGAGCACTATCATAACCAACTAAAAAAATGTGAACAGAGATCCAGAGCCACACCTAAACATGTTAGCCCCATATGTCTTTGCTAAAACAAATAACTTCATGCAGAAACACATAGACACAGTGCATGCACATAGGCACAGACATTTGAGAAAGTTGCTTGTATCCTTACAGCATTCATCTTGACAGGCAGCCTGAAGCAGAATCAATTATTCATGTTAAATGCATAACAAACAAAGAGGAACAAAGTATTTATCAAAGGGAGCCTAAAAGTGAGCTCGTTAACTGAAAGGTGATACAGGAAAAATGCTGGCCTGCACTCCTGAGGTTTGTCCAATATGTATTGTACACCAGCATCACCTATTAGTGGCTAAGTGGAAAACGAAGTCACTGCTTGATAATTACTATTGAGTTTTTAAAAGGAGTGCTTTAGGTGTCACTTATTTAAATGCTCTGCTAAGGACAAGTCAGGCACCAACTATAATCTCACACGACACGCAGGTTACGTGACAGTGCAAGGGCATAACATGTGGTCTCTAACACCTCCCAGTGGTGAGCATGCATAGCTGCAGATTTGAAGATAAAACTCTCACTCCGTATTTATCTGTAAAGGTCACTCCACATCAAATGCATCTCTGTTCTATTTTTTTTAGTTGTCCATTTCAGTCCTTATTTTGACCCCTTGGATCCTGCTGCATTTGTTTACGTATCATATTTTTCTCACTTACACACAAGTAAAGCATATAATCCATCCCCGAGCATCAGGTACTTCATTTAAAACCAAATCCACCCCAATGTCATGATCTCATTGGCCTAGGAGTTGCAGAACAGAGCAGAACAAGTACTACGCTGCATAAACAGTGTCTGTACAGTCATTATGATAGTTTGGTCTTTTGGTCATTATGATAGTTTGGCTGACTGATAGTGACTTAGTTCATGTTTGTGGCGTCACATTTTAAACCTGTTGCAAATCTGGTTGAGCAAAAAATAAACAAAGAAAAACATGACCAAGTGACAAAGATGGTCACTTGAATTCATTCTGCTGTCATGGGACACTGGCAGGTTGTTAGAATTCACATAACATGTTCTAATACATGCCCTAACTTTCAATACTTTCAATTTTCTTTATTTAAATAAGTTAGCACCAGCTTAAATTGTGTTTTGCCATCATTTATACAGATTCAAAAATTAAAATTCAACAATCAAGTTAACAATTAAATTAATTTGAATATTTTTTGTTCTATCCAATAAACATTTGGTGTTCACACAGTAATGGGTGCTTGCAGTCTTTATTGTTGGAATATTGTTTAGTATCAAGCATTTGACATTAAAATCAAAATTCTAGTATTGTGACAACCCTTCTGTGAAGAACTTCAGTGCATAACAGATTCTATAAACTGTACCTTGTAGGATGGCAGGAAGCACAGCACTCCTCGGCTCACTGTCTGGCACACTTTCAGCAGCAGTGCACCCACTTCATCCTGGAAGGCAAATGTCTCAGTGTGCTGAAACGTGGCACACAGCCTGCGGCCCTGGGGACCAATTCCAACTGTGCCAACCCACACCTGCAATATAACATTCAGTTCAAGAACTCCCTTATGTTTTGCATGAACATTTTTACCACTTTAGACCACACAGCTATCCTTATAGTTCGATATTAATATTTTAAGTAAAAGCAAACTACTGAATTACTTTCAATATTCCTTCTATTTTATATTCCTCCAACTATAAAAATAACACACAAAATTTCCGACTTACGCTGAAGGGACCCAGCAAACAACTGTAGCATGTTCTCATTTCCTCAGGCAGAGGCAGCTGATGGAAGGCCTAATGGTTTACAAAGAAAGCAATCCAACGCATGATGCTGCTGTAGTGTACTAACCTGCGACTTGCTGATGACATGGCTGGCCTCCAGCTGAATGGAGAATTTAATGCCCAGTTCTGAGGAGAAGGAGCCCATGGGGGACAGGGTGCCAGATGTGAGCACTATACTGCGTACTGAATCACTCAGGTCAGAGAACGCCTGCCAGTGCACACAGAGACTGCCATCACACACTGCATATATACTGTCCACCAATGGCATAAACAAACACTTACAATGCAATAAAAGGGACGCACCACTCAGGCTATTTAGTTCCTAAACAAATCACAGATTCCCTGTCATTACAATCAAACAATACTGATGCTGAATTTTTTACAAGTATCTTACATAACCAGCCATTTAAGCAATAAAGTCAGGTCCAACATTGAAGCTTAAAGTTACACGTTAAATGTTAAAAATGTACATAAATCTTCTACATTCCAAGCCTACACATGGGGGAAAACAAGAAAAAAAAGAAAAAAAAGGAACGAAGGGGCTTGTCTTGACCATAACTCATATTTGTCTAGTCCCAGATTGTCTTGATCATAACTCATATTTCATGTTCAACAATAGGCTGCATTGGAAGATTGCAGCTTACTACAGTAAAAAGAAACACTTAAAAAACCTGTGAAAGAAAATGATTTTTAAGCAGAAAGAGCTTCTGCATAAATCAATCAATGAGATGAAAGCAAAGTCATTCAGAATGGTTTGATGAGAAATGTTGCATTGCACAGAAAAGTAGACTCAATGGTGGTGATTGGAATCAGGGGTCATGTTGTTTCCAACAAAAATTTTACTTACTATCCAAAATGACCAGTGAACTTACACATTGATTATTTTCACATTTTATATGTTGACAATAGCAAAACAATGGTAAATCTGAAAAAAGTTATCTTTTAGGATTCTTTTAGCCCTCACGCATGTGCCTCAAATACTTATTACACTGAAACCTTATATCTAAACTACTGAAAAACAATGACTCGGACATAATGCAACATATTCATATCCATTTTGTGTATTACCTTTCTGTGAGGTAGCTCTTAGAGGCATTCACTGCTTCAGATGTCTGGTCTGGTCAATCATCACTGTTGTGAATTAATCTAATTCTGCAAGCTTCACTAGAAAGGCATATTTCAAATCAAACTACTCTGAATTATTTTGTTTACATCTGAATGATTTAACTATTAAGAAAGCTTGCAAAATCAGTAACAGGCTCAACTGCTAAAAGAGTTGCTGCAGTGGACGGTTACCGATATAGGCTTGCTTATGGCCACAGCCTTTGCACTTGCTGGTTTCATACTCTTCATATCCTTTTCTAATGAGTGTGGTGTTAAATGTTTTTACTGGTGATTCCCCATGAGCAATTTTTGTACATACATTGCAAATAACTGGTTTTAGCTTATGTAGATGTGTAGAAAAAACTGATATGCTGTGCTCTGATGATATTAATGTTTCAGTTCAAATAAACATTAGATATTTTGACTGGCAGTCAATTAACTGAAGCATCTCTAATCGAACAGAAGAGTCTGGATCTTGAAAAATGGGCTGCATGTTTAAAAAAAGACAGCCACACACAAAAGATTTATTAGACAAACATCAGCTATGTTGCTTCTCACTCACCACAGCAGGGTTAAGGCACCAGAAGCTGAGTGTGTGCACCAGGGTTTTAGTGCGGGTACTCTGGCGACGGCGATTGGGCCGAGCAAAAAAGCCCTGGGCGTCAGGAGCGTCCTGCTGGGTGGTCCAGATATAGCTCTGCTGCAGGGCTACACGGTAGTCATCCGCAAACCTGCAAAGACACCAAGGAGTACTGAACAAACAGAGGACCCAAGCAGACACTGCTAATCAGAGTAGGCCAAACTAATTACAATATTGCAGTATACTAACGCTAAAGATTCAAGAGGGGAGGAAAAAAGACAACACAAAGAAATAAAAATATTTAAGGATCTGCTTATAAGCAAGGACTATGCATCCAGCTGTCAAATATGCTTATGACCTGGACAAATCTTGTCTTAACCGTTTCATGTGGGTGTACATGAATGAGGGAGAAGGACCTGCAGTTTTGTCGGAAAAGGAATTCCAGCACCATGAAGAGGCTCTTGAGCACAGATTGAGTGCTGGAGCTGATGGTGGGAATCTGGACTGTGTCCTCTCTCCCGTTCACCAGACCAATTCGCTCCTCCTTCTCCAGGACCACCTCTAGATGCTTCTACTCAGCAAGCACAAACAGAGTAAACATGCTTATACATTCTGGGGGAGACAATAAGAAAGGACAAAAGGATAAAAATGGTTAAAAAAAAAAAAAAAAAAAGAAAAAAAAACAAGCATGCATGTATGTAAGACAAAGTTAGTGGAACTAGATACCTGCAGTGCTGAAAAAGTGTCAGCTGTGATGCCAAGGCCATGGAAAATGCCCAGAACTTCCTTCCCTGTCCACACCTTACATGCAGACTCATAATCCCTTTCTTGCAAGGCACTGGAGCTCTCCTGTATCCAACTAGACACACACACAAACATTTAATCATGTTAATGTGCCATAAACTGGGTTTTCATATCTTTGCCTAATGTCTAATATGTAATACACATGGGTGCCAAATGGAAGTCTCAGGCAATCGCAGATTACTATGAATCACTATGACAAATAACCTCTTGCAACAATATGCAGCCCATATGCCCATGAGATATTACAGTAGAATACATAGAAAGAAAGCATGCTTGTCTATGATCACTAATCGATCTAATCTAAATTAATTAGCGAATAAATAATGCAACAACCCCGAGGCACAGACTTTCATTTTCCACTTCAACTTTTCATTTTTCACATGTTAATAGATACCACTCACCCCTTCATATTAAGTTACCTCCTGTAAAAACCATTAGCCACAAGGTGGTGGCTGGATAGATCCAACTAAGATAACAATAAAACGTGTGAGAGAAATCAAAGAGACAATACTTGAGTAGACTGCAGCAGAAGGCCAGGAGAGGCTCATGGTGGCTACGACGGATGTTGTATGTCACTAGGCCCTCAATCTCTTCACGGGCTTGCAACAGCTGGGTTTGGTTGAGGGTAAAGCTGGCACTCTCTCGGGCACAGTCTTCAATGTTATGGGCCTCATCTAGCACCACGATCTGCCCTTTCAGGTTGATTTCCATCTGTGGAATTATAGGAACATAGACATGATCTGTCATAGCAACAGGAAGGTCTCTAATTGACCTGTTAAATGCTTCCTCTGCAGTAATTACTGAATATTCATACGTTCAACCATAACAAGGACTAAAAGGCATCCACTACAAAAATTATTCCTGTTTCTCTCAGATAACCTTTAGAAGTAAGAAATATATATATATATATATATATATATATATATATATATATATATATATATATATATATATATATACACACACACACACACACACACACACACATATATATATATCACAGTGCAGACAATAACAATGTGATCTCAATATTCCAAAATAACTCCTTAATTCATGTATTATTAAGAATAACAATGTTTATAACACTATAATATAGACCAGCATCTTCAAATAATATGATATGATATGGTATTTTAATATCTTACGACAATGTCACATTGATATTCATTTTTATAGTCGTATGTTTCCCACCCCTAACAACAATATTCCCTAGCCTTGCTAGGAAAGATACTCACACTCTCCCGGATAAGGGGGTCAAGTAAGTAGTTGTAAGGGCAGAAGACTATGCAAGCTTCCTGCATGAGCTCTCGAGCTGCATAGTAGGCACAAGAGCGCAGCTTACTGCCTAGACGCACCAGCTCCTCTATGTCCCAGGCCTGGTGTAGCCCATGCACCCACTGCAGGCTGCTCTGCTCCCGCATTTTATGCACATTATGGTAGAACCGACAGGATAGGCCCTGCAAAATATGTACAACACTAATGATAACATGAATAGCAGGGAGCCCAGTCTCTCTGGAACACTTTAACAAGTCAGGCCTAAATTAAAGAGCCCATGGCAGAAGATCAAAAACAATAAAAACAGCCTGTTTCAAATTTACTGATTCTTTGTTGGCATAAAAAGCAATGCATGGACATACATCTGCCTAGTCATCCTACAGCAGCAGCCTCGCTCATTCAAACTGAAGTTATAAGGAGTGGTTCAGCCCAGCTTATTGAATGCTTTCTGAATGAGGCACAATACTAGGTAGCCAAAGAGAACAGAGATCATTTACATATAATGGTTTTAAAAGCACAGTAAAAAAAATAGCCTTTTTGATTCTAAGTGATAATGCATTAAAAAAAAAAAAGACCACCATGCCACAGATGACCGATATTTCAAACTGATATCTGATATTTATTGCACTCCAGAAGAGAAGAGCGTTTAGGTTATGCTGGTCTACTGTGCTAAACTGTCTCCATTTCTCTGATTGTGCTGTATTTGTAACCCTACAGAAATAAATGTTATTTTTATCTGTAATATTAACCCTGGTGGATTTAGTCAAAATTTCTACATTATGTAAATATTTATGTATCAGCCTAAGCATGTATGTACATATACATACTGGCCCCCATTTCTCATATCAGTGCACCCCTAAAAAGAGGTTGGAAAATCATAATGTGAAAACAAATTATTACAGATTTTGTTATATAAATTCACACTAATGTCATAAGTGGACTGCGGGTTGGGGTAATACAAGAAAAACGCAGAATGCAGGCCTATTAAATTAAACATGGGTGCCAATATTTCAGTAGTGACTCATTATTCAGGCCTCCTATCTCACAGAAGTTGCCATCGTTATACCATTACCAATTAGCCACTGTTTAGGCTGTTAGGCAATCCATCATTCGTTTCCCCAGTAACAATTACGGCACTATCACTGCTCTGCAACACATATCCTTTTCATAATTGGAGCAGGTGTCTTTCTGCTGGCCACAAAAAGGGGCATCTGTTCATTGTGCTGGGGCTCACTGGAGCCTGCATTGGGCTGATGAGAGGCTGATGGCAGTTTCCACTATACTATACTCAAAGGGAGGATTAGCCAGCATCTAGAGCATGGGATTAACACTGCCACGGCAGGCTCTTTCATTCCCCCTCCATCTCTTATGGAGGTGATGATGTCTGTACTAAGGGACGTGTGACCTCACAGTGAACACCTCAATGGCGGGGGGAATAAAGGAGTGAGGTTGCAAAAGTGGGCAGAAGAGGACATAGAAGACGCAGCCTCAGGGAGCACGAGGGCACCGGAGACTTAGTTGATACTCCATTCAAGCAGAGTCGCCATCCAGGCCACGGCTCTTTCATGCGCAGGGGCGCACCACGGTCGAGAGGTGAATAGACACCTCTGGTGACAGTGTGATAGGCACTCATTACACAAGCTGCCTGGCGGCTGGGGGGACAAAAATGCATCTACACTTAAAACAAAGCGCTTCTGAAGCCTATGACAGGGGCATATAACAAAAAGCTCTGTATGACTGATTGGGATTTCACCCATAATTGCTCCCCACAGTTCCAGTGACAAGGATTTCACTCACATATCCTTAAAGGGTGGGCTTATGTTACAGTGGCTGTAATCTGAAGGCAACTCATCATCTTCCCTTCACACAACTGTCAAAGTGAAAGGAGTAGAGGTTACACCGAATTAGTACCACCCTCGCTATCCACCCTGAAGGCCACAGCAAGAGAGCAAGGTGTTTCTTTCCACAGCAGGCATGAGGTCAAGCTCAGTTCAAAAGATCCAATTCAGGGGGCTTTTGGCAAACTAATATATGACAAAGTGACTACTAGAGGAGCAGGTGAGGCCACAACGACCTGCACCTCAGAGATCGAGTAAATGAGGCGCTTTGATCTCTATTCAGGTGATAGAGGTGTAGGAATTTCAAGTGATCTTATCAAATTTATCTTATCAAAATGATCAAATTCAAACTATTCTGAAATTGATTTTCTGGTTAACAAACACAGGAAGACAGTAGCAAAGTTTAATTGACTGACCAAATTGTCTATACAGAAGTAACTACTAAAGTTACGAATAATGTTATATAATAAAGTTGTGAAGAACAGGCATTTACGTGAGATTTATGGACTGCTGCAATAGGACCATTACGCTCACTACTTTTCACTCGTGAATTATTTTTTTTCATCTACAACTTTTAGGTTTTTGCTTGAACATTTGGTGACCATGTCAGAGTTCATAGATCAGCATCAATAGGAGCCTGTGAACCCAATGAACCAAAAGAACTCAGTCACTGAACCCTTTCATCTCTCTGAGGGGCTTGTGTGATGACACATGAATAAAGACCCTGTGTTGAAAAGCTGTTGTGATGTCAGATGCCGTGAACCCGGCACTGGGCGACTCACGTTCTTGGCCTCTAGCAGTTCCTTGCAGCGCTCGTTGCGGTTGGCATGGGGCATCACCTCAGGGTGCACACAGGTATGGTCTCGGCTAGACAGGATAGTCATGGGGACAGTGGAGTAGAGCGTCCTCTTCAGCTCTCGAGCAATCTGGGTGATCTGTTTATGAGTGCGTGTACCAAAAAAGATCTTGGGTATAGTTTTCTTCCCATTGACCTCCTTGTCTTTGTCCTTGGCCTTTTCACCTGCCTTCTGTCCTTCTCTGAGGCTGGCACAGGGACACAGAGAACAAGACACAGGAGACTGTGGAAAAAGAATTTAAAACAACTTAACCACAAGCATTTCAACGACTAACAAATGTCTAGTGCCATGCAATAGGCCATGTCAGCACATTAGATGAACAGATTTTTGTGTAAGTGGACATATTGATAAACAACATATACATAAGAGGAAACGCTATAAGTCAGGATCAGATCACTCCAACTGAGAGTGTAAGTTTAGACACCAACATTGTTCATGATGCTGCTCCCTGATTGGGTCTCTTTAATTGTGGCTTTCAAGAACAAGAGCCTACCATCCTTAGTGAAACTGATCCTCAGCAGTCTGTATGAACTCTAAGTGTCCCACTTCTCTACCCTTTCACTAGCATGACACAAGCATTTCATGCAGTCATGAGCTACAGAATCTGCATTACACAGTAGAAGTCACTGCTACATTCACTACAGTTACAGTACCATGCAGAAGTCTTAGGTCACTTGATAAAACTGTTACAAACTATTTACCTGTATTTACCAATATGTGTTTTTTGCCCGAACAACATTATATAATACATGCAAATAAGCATTATTACCGTTAAAAGTAACAAGAATTACTAGCTTTAAATGAACAAGCTGTTTCCTTCTCACTCCGATGCAGTGCAATGAATAGAACTGTTAAATTTCACCAACAGCTTACAATGATGAACTGATTTTCCCAACCAGGTCCCAACTGGAGAGTAACTACAAAAACTGGGCTGCCATAAGGAGAGGATTGCAAATGGTTGCTAACACACTGACAGTTTTTTGTGCATTTACTTTAATGTTAGTGCTTATACAGACTTCACTGCTCACTGCTAAGGCTGCACATTATATACATAAAATGTTCAATATCACAAGATAAGAAACAAAAAAATTACAATAAAAACAGTGTTTCCGACAGAATGTGCAAAAGGTACTGTGTAAACAGGAACAGAAGTTCCTTTAGGACAACAGTGAAAAATACAAAATTACAAAAGCATTATTCACTACTGTGCAAAATAAAATAAAATAAACAAAAAACGTTTTGTGCATTGTAAGGCTGTTAGAAACACATTTTTTTTTTTTATTTCTTATACATCTATTTTTGGTGATCCAGGTTTGTTGTCACAGTTGCCATTACTGCTTGAGAGAAGTTACCATTACTGAGTGAAAATAGACAGTGATAAGTCATTACATTTGAAGCATTTTTAAAACTCTAGTGGTTAAGAATATAGTAGCTTTTCAGCTATGCACGTGTGTTTTGTAGTTCCAATCACTAAAATGATTAAGTTACTCACTCTCCACACAAGGGAATATGGTTTAAGCCCAGCGCAGGGAAAGGCTTCTAATGCTACGTTCCTGTCATCACAACCTTTACGATGTGTTGATCATGGAAACTCCTATCCCGATAATGATTACATAATGATTTAGCGTGCAGTCCTACTTACTGCCACGAAAAATCTTTCATTATAATTTCCTCAGGCTTTCGCACTGCAGTGCACACTAAAGTAAATAATAAAAATATCAGGCAATGTGCATGCAGATTTAAAACATAAATATGCAAAATACTTTGATCTTTCATTCTACACATTACAATATGCTTAGGCTGAATGCAGTGGTGTAAGGTTGCATTCAACATGTGCTTAAGGTATCTTTTCCAAATTTTTCTAGTTTTTTTGTTTATTTTTTATTTTTTTAAAGAAACCACAGCACCTTTATCTGAGGCCACACCTCAAGATGCAAACCACTCATCAGCAGTAAGAACTGGAAGGCCAGAATGGAATTTACAAAGAAATACAGACACGAGCCACAAAAGTTCGGGAGTTATAAGGACTGATGAGATGGAAAGGCCAAAGTGTAGAAAAAAAAAAAAAGGATCTGCTCATGATCCAAAACATAGAGGCTCATCATTCAAGCCTAGTGGAGGTAGTGCCGGACAGGGCTTGCATGGCTGCTTCTGGAATGGGCTCACTAACCTTTATTGATGATGTAACTCATGATGGTAGCAGCAGAATGTTTCTATACACTTCTGAATTCAGTTCTAATCAGGAGGGACTTCATCACGTAGCAAGACAATGACCAAAAACACACTCCTGACACAACGAAGGACTTCATCAGGGAAAAAAGTGGAAACTTTTAGACTGGCCAAGTCAATTGACAGACCTTAACCCAAGTGAACACGTTTTTCACAACTACTAAAAGAAGCTGCAGTAAAAGCCTGGAAAAGCATCACAAAAGAGGAATGTAACAGTTTGGTGATGTGAGTGGGTCATCTGCCTGATGCAGCTACTGCAAGCAAGCGATATTCAACCAAATATTAAGTGTTACTTACTTTATTTACTTCGAAAATATCAATTCTGAATATCAGTACTTTTCCTCACCTAAATACTGGGTGGCCTGCCACCATCAGCGCAATGTCCTAATTTATTTAACACATCTAGATGTAAATATCAGGAAATAAAAAGTGCAATTCTGATCCATCGTCTCATTTATCTTTTTATCTTAAACCCGAATGTCTTCATTGCATATCAAAAACATACATTATATAATACAACATTCACTAGCAGAAAGGCTGTTGATTTAAACATTCTTTCTAACAGTAATGGACATCAAGGCACCAGTGTAAACACAAAATGTGCATGTTTAATCTGAACTTGTATAGCAGAGGTACTTAGGAGCAAACGAGTGGTTTATTCTATCTGCAGATTTGAGTGTAATTTCATCCTTGTATACTTGTTAATATCCTAACCATTTCAGAAAAGTGAGAGTAATATTGATCCAACGCACTTAGCGAGATCAGGTTGGGGTGGCTATTAAGTGCCTAAAATACGAGCCTTCACACTTTTCATTTGTTTCTTTTAAGAGCATCAGTAAGCTTATCCCTTATAAACACTAAGTCATGACGTGTGTTGCACCTCAATACCAGGGATCAAGCTCTCTCTTAGCCTCCGCTCCAGTGGAGGGGTCAATCTTTGGTTACCTATGCTGCTTCTCAAACCTTGTTTGCCATTAAATATTACAATACATGATAGGATGGAGGCGAAAGTGAGCCATCCCTCAGTGGGATGAAGCCTGGGCCTGATGTGGCAAGTAAACAAAGGCCTGGACGCAGCTAAGGTTACGGCAGCACTGGAAGAGTTTCACGCCAGGGCTCCAGTTGTCGCAGTCCAAAGGGATCACCTTACCTGCTGCTGCCACATTCAATAGCCCGGTCCAAGTATCCTGCCTTCTATGCCAAATAATTACTTATTCATCGGACGGAGGAGAGTGAGGGCCTGCTTATGAATGGGAGGCCTTGTCAGCGGCAATGCGGGAAACAGCTGACACAAGGGTATCCGTTACGCGCAGCCTGCCACAGTTTCGGCCCCTCTCGACGCTGCGTAGCAAAGAGACAACCCTGGTATGCAGATAACAGCCTCCACTGGCTGGACCTACTGCCACAGACACATTCAGCCTGTGGGCCACATTCTTTCACCACAGGGCCCCGATATCATCTGGGAGTGATTCCTCGGCTCAATCCAGCCTGCAGAATCCAACACTGCCCAGCCCCGTGCAGGAGCGTCAGCCTTAGCATGCCATCTCAGCTGGGGGCACTCGGAAGCAGACAGACCGAACAGTTCACTGCTCTAAAGTAAAAGCCTAGGATATTGTTGAAAGTATGGCATTTTTTGGAGTAGCTTGGCAAGTGTCACTCAGCGCTAAAAATGGAGATGGTGTATCAGTATCGATAGGTACTGCTATTGGGCCGATATTAGCAGAATATACTGGATTGGATATCAGAGAGAAAAAAATAAATCTGACCCAATCCTACAAGGAATTTAGCCTGAAATAGCACTCACGTTGTGATATGATGCTTTTCTTCCAGTAAGCTTGATTAGTTTGAGCATGATTGCCTATTTTTAGATGTTCATCTTAGACTGAAAAAATACCCCATGTTGAAATTAATTTAATAAGATCTCAATATTGTTTGGAAAAGAAAAATGGAAAGTGGTAACATGCTATCTCTAATGGAAAAAAAAAGAAAAAAAAAGCTTTACACAGCTAAGTACTGCAAATACCAGCAGTCAGGTCAGACTCAAATTAGGGAAGCAAAGTTCTCAATAAATTTGGCATTCTAATACCCATAATAATTAGTTAATGGATATACGGTCAAATGTGGAGAACAAAAAACAAAAAGGTATAAATAAAAGTAAAAGTAAATATAACTTAAATAAACTTTCCTCTAGGTGATGTATATAATCGTTGTAGGAACAAAGCCTTGTTTCTCCATTTTCTTTGTACGTTTTTTTAATAATTTTAAAAGCAACGTTCCTAATTTACCCAAAGCTCAAAATCTGTTTACATTAAAAGTAATCATTTTGGAAATTCAGTGATGATAGTGACTTAGAAAATAACAAAGAAAATAACTGAACAACTGAAATACTGAACACATACATTTTTTTTATCTTCTTGAAATCTTCTTTTAAAAAACAAAAATGACTGCAGGTCTGTTCAGCAAAACAGAGGCATTTCTGTTTCACTGGTGGGCTGTTAAGAGCCCAGTGTTTGAGATGCTGGGCTAGATTGTCCTTGCTCCACAATGGCTCTGTGATGGAATATGTAGGCCTGAGTGTGAGCATGAACAAAGGGACTGCATTTCAACAGGTGAGCTCTGAGTGCCTGACACTCGAGAGACTGAAATCTCACACTATCCGCCTCGCACTTCCCCAACCACCCCCCCGCGCCTTCCACTCATCTCATTCAGCGAAGGAGAGAGCTCAAGAAAGAGCTCAACAGAGAGAACAGGAGTGAGAGAAACGGTCTTCTCTGAGTCTTCATAAGAAGGCTTCACGGGTCTTCGCTCCCCCATGATGGCTGCCCCTGGAGCCCTTGGCACTCCCCCACCCGGCCAATCTCCAGCACCACAAAGCAACTGTTTATCCCTGGAGCGAAGTAACCAGCGGGTGAACCCCATTCAATATTTATCCCAGGCTTTCACAGATCACTGCCAAGCAAGGCAAACCTCTTAATTAAACTGGAGCTCGCTTCAAAGGGCCCATTGAAGATGTCAGTCAGCGCTGGCAGGGGCTGCACACGGTGTCGGGTGAGAAACTGAAACCCAAAGCATAGCCCACCTCCCACACAACCCCCAAAACGCCCACCTTTAACCCGCCCACCAGGCCTGGGCCTCCCCTTTCTGTAACAGTCCACCAATCTCCAGGAACGTGCAACACAAAGTCACTCCCAATCCCATTGTGTTCATTGTATGCAATATGTTCTCCTGTGTGATGGGTGAGCAAAGGACACAGATTCTTTTACCTGGGGTCATCACTACACTGCTGAAGATTTGCTGAGAAGCTTTCAGCAGAAAATGAAAATACTGAACAGTGTGAATCAAACAAAGCTGCCCTTAACTGAATTGCTGTTTTTTTTAAAAAAGCTCAATAACTCCTTATCTGCAATATAAAAGCTATTTCTGAGAGAAAAGCAAGGTGATTGGTCCATCATTCTAGCAGATCTTACTCATCCTACCACTATTATGCCTCATTTACTATACCAGTCCAATGGCTGAGCGTGTCAACTGGTGCAAATTCTAAGTCTTGTGAGCTGTATTGAAACCAGTTCTTGAAGTGAGCCAAGCCTAGCTGAAATCCAAAGGCGTTGCATGGGATCTGCCATGTCAACAAAACATAGCAACAATGTGTATGCTAGCTAAGGAACAAAGGGCTAAATTACTAATCAAAAACTATTACTAAACCCAAAACATTTCATGATTGATTCTGCTTGCCATTATTACACATTCGTAAAAAGATGGTTCTTCAAAGGTCTTTAGTAAAGGGAATGGTTCTATTTAGACCATGAGTAGTATATAGAACCATTTTATGCTTAAATGGTTCTTTGCATAGTGAAATGATTCTTCAGATTGATGGAGAATGTGTTGTATATGGTTCTACATAGAACTTTTTTGAAAATGGTTCTACATAACAGAATGTCAAGCTTGTCAGTACTTAAGTACTGAGTGTGTCCTGAATTTCAGTTTCAGTACTGGTCAAGAATTCAGAGCATCAAATCTCTGCCTTGAGATTTAATCATCAAAACAGTAACTTTACAGGAGAAGGAAAAAAACTACTTTACTTCTAATGTAAGTTAATGTAAATTTCTTTTGGTCCATTCATTATTAAACTTAGACAATGTAATGGGGTAACAGGCATTTTCAAATTATGTCCAAAACTGAAAAACGACAAAAATAGAGGTACGAGGTTTTCTTCCAACAACAGCGATATACTGTCTACAACCAAACTGCTTTATATTATTGAAAACGTTGATTTCAAACTTTTGAATGGCAGTGTATGTCCAAAAATATGTGAAGACAACAACTCATGCAAACAAACTCCCTATCTTTCCTGAAGTAAAAGACCTGTAATAAAAAGAGCTAATGGCCTGCTTTTGTGTTATGAACAATTAAGCAACATAACACCAGCTGTAACATAAATTCTCAATCCTGGTCCTAAAGTACCTCCTTTCCTGCACATTTTAGCATTTTCCTGCTCAGACACACTCACTTAAATGCAGGAAGGGCTTGTTAATTAGCTGATTAGTTGGATCAGGTGTGACAAACTTTGTGCATCAACGGTTTGCCAAAAGACCTTCAAAATGGCCAACATCCTAAAAAGCTTTGAAACGTCTACACTTTTCTGGGCAGAGTGAGAGACATTTTAACAGCGTTCAAAGACCTGGAATTATAACGCTACCTTCACACAAGAACCTCTGCTGCCACCAAGTGGTCAAATCAAACCCAACAAAACACAACTCTAGAGACAATATGAGGAGTCAGCCTTTAAAAATATGTAATGTCCCAAAGCCATATTTGTACAAGACTAATTCACAGGAGAATTCCACAGATTTTTTTTAAAACGTCTGCAAAATAAACTGTTAAGATGCAAAGTCATTCAGAGTGGTTTAATGTGAAATAAAGCCACTCCAAAAAAACTTACTAAGTCAGAATTCACAGCTTTGGTGACAGAAACCAGACATCTGAAGAATGACTCTAAAAGCTACCTCACAGAAAGTAAGTTCATAAAATGGTTATGAATATGCTGCCAGTGACAATGTTTAATAAATGTTCTGAAATAAAGTTTTGGCCAAAATTTTTTTTTATCAATTTATGGTGGAGATGTACATTCAGGGTGATGAAAAGCAAAATAGAACCCAAAGAAAACCATTATCAACATTATGTATAAAATAGAAGCACATGTAGTTTCTCTGGTCATTTTTAATAGCAAACAAAATCACTATATTTGTGCTGCAGACATCATGATCCCTGGTTCCAATCAGCACTATTGTAATCAAATCTGGTTTGGTAATTTTCTCTACAATGGACCATTTATTGTTTACTCTGAATGACTTTGTTTACATCTCAACCACAGAATTATTCAGACACATTGGTGGAATTCCCTTTAAAATGGTAAAGTCTGGTGATTATAACTTATCATCTGTGCTAATAGTGTTATATAAATCAAGCATGCCCATATTTTTATGAGCAAAACATTCAATTTAAATTAAATGATGCCTTGTGTCAAACTAGTGCAACTGCTTTTGCCTTCTCTCTTGTTTCAGAAATCATACACTGACAGCCACAGGCATGCACACATATACACTGTTAGGTGTGTAACAGTCATTTTAAGGTCCATTTGTGTACCTTAAATACGTTTTTCCCAGGTAAAAAAGTATTTGTACTTTCATAACCTAATGTTTTAGAACAGAACAATAAAATAAAAAGCCTGGAAAAAAGACGGGGTGTGTGGAGTTAATACAACGTAGAAAATTAGAATTTCAATGGATTATGGTAGAGTTACGTTCCCTGACTAACGGTACTGAGATGTACCCTTGAGAGTACCACCCCAGTGACAAGAGGGGTACTGCCCCAGTGAAAGTTTCATACATTTTTTCTGAGAGTGTAGGTTAGCAACTTATCTAAAACATTATCTTTTCATCGTGTGCAAATGTTCAGAAGCTCAGGAATTAGAAAGTTATAAGAAATATGAGGTTATGGGCATTGGACTTATGAACACTATAAGCAGGAAGGATCATGTGAAACGCTATGGCATGACATGATAAACAATAAAAAGTTTACTTAAAAAAAAAAGTTGCTTATCTTGATACAAAACAAACAAAGCTACATTTAGATTTATTTATTCATCAAATTTGTCAGGATATAGACATTTAGACAGAGATTACCAAGACATGCAGTCTAGTTAATCTGTGCAGCAGGAATGAAAGACTGAAAAAGTTTGTGCATCTCCGCATACTCACATAGCACTCTGCAGGTGGCAGGCTACCCTCAGCCCTGGCTTGACTGCCTAGCTCCACAGTCCAGCTCTGAGCTCCAGCCACAGGCCTCTCCAGGTCTGCATCATCATCATTATCAATGTAAACCACACCTTTCTCCAGACACCTTCGCTTACTGCTCTGTTGAGCATCAAAGGATCGACAAAGGAAAGAGTCACCTGCTGCAAGTATGAGTCAGCTTACGTAAACAAGTTAAGAACAGACAAGCTCACAAACACCTGATTAAGAGCTAATAAATTACAGACAAACCTTCTGGTCAGCAGCAGGTGCCCGCATGCGCTTCCTATCAGCCTTGAAATCATCATCGTCTTGTCCTCTCTCTGTAGTGAGGGAAGCCTGAAGCTTCTGAGAGAGCCTGGAAGACAGAGTGGATCTCTTGCACGCACTGTCCTCTTCTGTTAGAGAGAGAGGGAAACATCTTTTAGTCCCTGCAGGAATTTCTGATCACAAATTCATGCAAAAACAACACTTGCAATATTTGCAAAAGCTTGCAATTTTGTCCAATCACTTATTTATTTCCACAATAAGTCATGTAAGTTTACTCTAAGTGTGCATCTTTCATTCTACACTCCATCAAGCCATGGATAATGCATGGCATTTGCCAATGGATATTTCAGCTAAAGAGAAGGCAAAACCAAATCCCTGATCATTTTACATGAAAGCAGGATGGAAACTGTTGTGTATGTCATGCAACACTGCTGTGAAGCACAAACAAAAGCTGAATACTGTCACATTTTTTATTTGATGTTCTGTGCACTTTTATAGATGGTTCTGCACTGTGTTTATTGTTGCAAAGAACAATAGATAATGGATTCAGAGACTACTTCAGAAGTACACCTTGGCGACAGGGTGACGTAATCAGATATCAGCAACAAGTAACCTAATAATGGTTCTTCAAAAGTGATTAATGCCTTGTTGCGGAAGACAATTGATAAAGAATTACAGAGGACAAGTATATATAATCAATACTTCCAGTTTTTTAAAAAGAAAACATTTTAATATTTGCTAATAATTTTTAGACATCGCCCAGGCCTAGATCAGAACCCCATGGTGCTACTGGATGTTCTACCAAAATAAGTATGAGAGCATGTAATTTTACCCCTTTTCCTCATCTTTGATATATTTGAAATATGGTACCTATTTTGTATTATTGCATCATTTCAACAGAAAATATTAAAAACTCTTTCCTTTAAGAATTTTAAACAATGTTAAAATGTTTTTTATTTTGAATCTGTATGTCTATGTCCGTATTTCTCAGACGTCGCTTAATTTCTAAATTGTTCCCCCCCTTGTTCTCACTAGGAACTAACTAGTCTGCATTCAAAACAAGGTGAAGAAATATATCAGGCTTAAATTAATCACAAATTTCTACAGTCTACTTGCAAACCACACCCTTCACACCTACCTGAAATAAACAGTGCAAATACTGACATACATATTATGAAACTTTTAACTTACAACAATCACAAAAATAGGACTCAAGATTCAGGTGGACTGATCTTTAAAACCTCATGCCTGCTCTGCTAATCTGTATGTGACAGGTATCGTGCTAGACACCACAGATTAAAGTGCTACCAGACAAGCACACAACACTGATTTGGTGTCAATCCTCAAGGGCATAGTCAGAATCAGGCTTTACTGGCTAAGCAATGGCACATACTGGTCTTCAGTCAGGGCGGGTTCACTCCGTGTTTTCTGAAGGCTACTTGTGGTTGCGTGCCTCCCTGTTGTTAGGCAACAAACAGTGTCTTAACTGTCAATACGATGTTCTAAGTAGCTACAATAAGTATGCACAGTCAGCAAGCTCTAGCACCTGCCCCTTTACAAAGTTACCTCCTATTAACTAACAAGTGTGGTACTGTTAGGAAAACCAAGCTAAACTTAAAAAAGCTGTTTTTTGTTTGTCATGCTAATTTTCATCCATCAATTCATACAGTTACTCAGCGACTGCAACTGTCACCAAAGACACGCACAGAAAAAGCTCATGACATAGGTTACATAACTGCTTCTAGTTCAACTTTTTTTTCAATTCAATTAGTGCTACATTTATTGGAAAAGTAAAAATGTGTTTTTCATTCACACCAGCTGTTATTCTTTTCAAAAACTCGTTACATCCACAAATGGATACACAGCATTTTGCAATTAAATTAACAGTGGTGCAGTGTGATAATACAAAAGCCTTTATGCTTACAAACTGAGTACTGGTGATGACAACACTCACCTTTTGGAGAAGTGATGGCTTGAGCAGCATCACCTTCACCAGTAAGATCAACCACAGGTGGTTTGAATGCTGTGCTGCTCGAAGAAGTGTGTGGGTCAGAAACTCGACTGTGACACGCACACTGACATGGAGTGGTGACATCTGGCTTTTTGACATCACATGAGGAGCTTCCACCGTTCTGGTCAGACTTACCTTGAACAAAGAGAGAGAGAACACAAATAGTAAACCATCATCTATGTCGCATATGCATCAACATCACTATAGATACTTAAAAGATAAGAGGCACAATTGACCTGTTCACATTCCACATTCTAGAAAGGCAAACTTTACAAAATGTTAACAAAAATCTCATTAAACCTGATGACTGCAGCTTACAAACATAACAAAATATCTTAAGTGATAGTGTTATCTTAATTATAAATTCATTTTTATTTGCATGCATGTGAAATATAATGCTGTTAGGACAGATGGGGTGTAGTTCATCATATAATTGAGGCTTGTAGGTAGTATTTCAGCTTCGTTGTACACCACTAGCTACTGCAGCACTACTGAAGTCATAGTCATTTTCTCTCTTATACTTGCCATGTACAGATGGGTGACAAATCTGAATAAATAAGTGGAGAAATAACAAGTGTAAATGTGTGTAAGCATATGTGCCTTTTGATACAATTAAGCAATTAATTCATTAGGGTCAAGGTGGCAAGAGCAAAAGATCCAAGTGACTTTGAAAGGGAATGATTCAATAGGAACAGTGACTAAAATGACAGTTGCATGTAGATGGGAAAGACATCAGTAAATAAGGTCGGAAATTGTGATCAAACGTGTACATTCAGTGACAGGGATGCTCGTACATTAGTGCAATATGCAAGGAAAAAAAACACAAGTTTTGTGACTGTGTCAGCTAGAACAGTTCACCCAAAACTACATAGGGATATTATAGTAAAGCTGCAGTGCATAAATGCCTCATTACAAGGAATGACTAAGAGTTTAGTCGAATACAAAAAAACAAACAAACAAATTACAAGGTCAGATGAGTGATCCTTCACCACATGCGGGCGACTGCATGAGTGGTGTACAACAAGAGTTACATTGTAGGAGACCAGTGACTCTCAATGCAGTTATTCTGTCTGATCGCATATTTCCTGTGATAAAACAATTCTATTCTAATGGGAGTGGTCTCTTCCAGGATGACAACGCCCCCTCCACAGGACACAAGGATAGTTTGAAAATTATGTAAAATCCTATGCTGTGGCCTATGGGTCACCAAACACAAAAAAGCCAATTTTTGGATTTGTGTTAGATAGCACTCTCCACCACCATCATCAAAACACCACCTGAGGAAGTATGTTTTGGAAGAACAGTGTTTCATCCATCCTGTACAGTTACTGAGAATTGTAGAATCTGTGCAAAGGTGCATTGAAGCTGTTCTGGCTTGTCATGGCTCAGCACTCTGTAGGTATTTTGACAAAAAACTGAGTCCTGTGATACAATTTTAGCTAAGGTTCTATAAAGCTTGTCCAAGCGCTAATAGAGACTAATCTAACAGGTTAAATCATCTTATTCAACATTAACTCCTCTATTAATGGGGACGGTACAATTCGCTTTCTAACCCCATTTCACTAAAGGACCAAGTTCTTACGAAACAATGTAGCAAAACGGACATCAAGTATACTCATGAATTCCAGTCAGACATACTATACTGTGCCTGCTGCCATGCCAAGGCTGAGCACAGCAGGGCTAAGCTCTTGCCGCTCCCAGTAGGGCTCTCCAACAAGCAGTGCTGCCCATGGTTTAGGCCACGAACAATCTAAACGAGAATCAAACAAATGTAAGAGGTCGAGTGTTTCTAAGGACAAGTCCAACAGCATGTGACAGGCCACATCTTAAAGAAATGGTTCACTACAAAATCAAATTTATAGAATTTTCCCCCCACCTCAAACACGGTCAATAGGCCGAGACACTGGCTTTTGAGTTTGCTTCTTTAGTTTTGCATGGACCTATGAGGTTAATGTAAATAACAAATAAAAGAGCTTTGTCACTTAAAAATCCTGTGGGGTTCCTCACACTTCTACTATATTAGCCTCAAACTTCAAAAACCAAACATTTCCTGGGTAACTGACTGTGTTTGAAAAAGTGGGTAAATTCTACAAACTGGATTTCTCAGTGAACCATGTTACCAAATCCAAAAACAGAAAGATATTCAGATGTTGGATGGCAACAAGCACCATCTGGCTTAGAACTTACCGAGTTCATCATAGCAAGTTGAGAGGGATAGGCTTTGCAGGGGAAGTGAATTTTCACTCCTCCTATAGTGTACTCCACCGTATTCCCAGCCATGCTTACTGTGAGACTACAGCAAGACAAAGAATATACAAACATTCATTGTTAGTGTTTGTGAAAAATACAAGTATGACACTGGAATAGTAGCCAAATAAACCTTAATACTATTTTTGTTAATGGCTGAGCCAATTACATCAGGTAACTTTAGCAATGCAATACTATAACACGTGAAATAATGCACGAGTGAACATTAGCACCACACTTAAGTTCAACACTAACTTAAAACTAGCCAACAAGCCAACTAGTTAGTTAGCTAACATCTTTCGCCCGTGTCAAGACAGCAATCCAAATGTATAAACCTGCGCTTCGACAGCTACATAAAGTCCTGTCTGCTGGTGTGCAAGTAAGGCTTCACTGACGTCGTAACAACTGAGACAAAAAAGGTAGCTAACGCTAAGTAGGTTACTTGTAGTGAGTCTGCTAATGCTAGCTAGTTAGGCTAACTAATGTCGCACAGAGACAGCACAACATCATTTGAACATTCAGTGACTCGGAAACATATTCAGACATATTTATATCTAAGCTATAGTTTTCAATTACCTTTGTGGCTACTTTAGAAAAACGACACACACAGCGAATTTACGAGACACTAAGCTCAGAACCATTTCCAAAGAATGAAAACTGAAAGTCCCGCCAGGAAAAACACACTTCCGCGTTTTGGCGAGTGCGCGGGATCTACAAGTCATACACAACAACATCGCGCGGTGCACAATAATTTAACAATCAGCGAATCTGCGGAGACCCGCAAAAAAAGCAGTTTTCGTCAGAAACCGACCAACACTTTCAAAAGGCTTTAAGGTTCTTTCTTTTCTATGAATTCAATTAACAGAACAAGCATAAACATTTAATTTTTTCTTTGGCTGAATTAAATGAATTTGCAGTTTAAAATGTTTAATCTGCATATTTGCACTACAATTTTAGTGTACATAAATAAAGCTCGGCTCACTGACAGGAACTGCCCTAATGCAAATTGAAAATATGGGTAATAATAATTTGCTATCCAGATTAAAATGCATCTTCAAAACTTAAGTGTAAACTTAACTTTAAGTGTAAGTAAATTCCACAACACCTATACAGCTCCCTTTTCTCTCCAGAGATATTTGTAAGAGAAAAAATCAACTACCCAATGAGATTGTCAGAGGGGAATTAAACTAGCCAATATCAAAATTTAATTGGTCTAGCTTTGCCTATGCACAGACTACATGCATCAACAATAATATAGAAACACATAGGCCCAGTGGCATTAAAGACTTTGGCATAAGTACTTTGGCAAAGGGTGTGCCATGAGCCACTAGAAGAATCGGGACTTATTCTCATTATATTATGTAAAACATTGATTGCTTTGGATAGAATTTTAACATTTACTTTGTATTTAATTGTATATGAAATCACATAATTGTGTGTTGCAAAGGGCTGCAAAATAGCAATAATAGGCCATATTTTAATTTAATAACTTCCAAATTTTGATTGTTCAATAAAGCACTTTAAAATAGCAGAAAGTATGTCATTATACAGCATTTATTTTAGTTGATTGACAATACATAAATTTTACCATTATTTTAGCTGTGCATCAGATAAAAGGGTGCTTATTTAGACAAGAGCAATCACATTTAACCCTTCAATAACCAGTTTAGCCAAACAAATTAAAATGCAGCTAAACCCCTGCTAAGCTAATAACAGAGTAATAGTCCCATTAAAGTTTATCACGTTTGTTTTTATTAACCTGGTTAAGCATAGCAGCACCTTAAGTTTCACATGAGTCTCACAGTTAGAAAAAAAAAAACAACTTAAAAAAAACCCAATATAAACAAATAATAACATGTAAATGAGCATAATACCAATACATATTCTAAAAACCAAGACCAACAGGTGTGTACATTTCTTATTTATATGTTGAGGTAAAGGTAAAATCATACATAGTGACAGGAGGTTAAGATGCTTGTAGAAATGGTAGAAACTGTGTGCATTCCCCTTTGTTCTGTAAAACAAAGTGTATAAAAATACATACACCATCGAATTGCTCAAAGTAAATTAATTCCTTAAAAATGTTCTTTGGAATATGTACATGTCAGTTGCAAGGAGCAATATCTTCTCAGAAGATATGCATTCTTCTGTTGAATTGTTCTTACAATCCTTCCACCACAATGAATGGAAGACAGCAGGAATTCAACTTAAAGTGTATGAACCCAAATAAGTACAAGGTCCATAGCGTGTACTTGATTAGACTACATCGTTACAAGATTTAAAAAATACAAAAACATTGTAGAGAAGGTGACACAAGTGACAAATAGAATGTTGGAGCATGTAACAGAACCCCCGTTACTTCACATAACAGAAGAACACAATAGGTGTGTCACAATATGCTAGATGGAAAGAAGTACACTATATTGCATCATAACCTTTAATCGTAAAATCAAACCACTTTTATATCTTGACCTGGTAGCTTTAGGGCCTGGTTTTTCAGTAGCTTATCTGAAGTGTATAAAACTGAGTGTGATTGTGACCATCCAACATGAGCGTGAGAGTGTGTGAGAGCACTTAAGATGTTAGCAAACGCACACAGTGGCATTTCCATGCTCCTGAAGTAGACCTTGCACGTTGTCGGGCTGCTTCTGACTTTTGCCACTGCGTCTCAGTGCGGGGCGCTCGCTGTACCTCCGTCGAGATGTGCATGAGGACGCAGAGCTGTGAGAGGACTGGGGAAGACTACGACGAGGCCTCTTCCCTGCAGGGTTGGAGAGATCCTCCAGCATTCGCTTGCCTGTTGTCACTGTGTTATTACGGATGCCATCATTCAAGCTCTTATTACTGAGATCTTTATGAGGAAAGTCAGAGTTTGTAACAGGAGATTTCAATGATTCACAACTGCTTGTCCCACTATTAGCGATGCGCTGTCCAATGGCTGATTCCTCTTCACAGGCAGAAGAGGAAACATCTGCCTCTGGGACCTACAAGGAAAACAATGAAGAATTTGAAGGCGGAGCACGGGTTGATTGTCATTTAAGCTGACATAACATGCATTATTAAATACACTTTAGTTAAATATAAATCAGAAAAACCACCACTGCCTTGGTGCTTTGCAGCTAAGTGATAACAGTGTGTGTTCCCACGTAATGCTAATGATGCTAACCTGGTTGGGTCGAGTGTCAGAGCAGGATCCAGCGGTAGAGCTACACTTTGCTCCCTCTAGGTTATACACAACCTCATATGGGGACAAAGGTTCAGGAAATGTCCCTACTGGCTCCAAGCAAATTACGATAGCGCTAGTGTTGTCAGCACGAAGCATGCGTTGACTCCATCGTTGAAGGGCATGGTTCACCAGCTCGTGAGCACTACAAACATTTTCCTTTGTCTTCTGGCTCTTAGCCTGCAGGCACAAGTTGAGTACACAATCTTAAAAGACTTTTTTTTTTTAAGAATAGTCAGCAAAAAAATCTAATCTACCCAATTTTCCACTTACCCAGATGCAGTTGATCAGCCAACACATTCTTGAAGTCCTAATTTTGCTTCTTTAGTTTATAACTGAAGTTATTAGGCTAACATTCCTAACAAACACTAGAACTCAATAGTCACCCAAATAGTCCGAATTGTTTCTGGAAAAATACATACGGTCTTCATTAAAGCAACACACATGCAGGATTTGGTAATTTGGAGACCTCTCTGGTGGAAATATGCAATTGCACACAACGTGCGAAATAACGTTTTGTAACAGTGGTTGCGCTTCGGACCCACACAAGCAGATAAGACTTTTGCCAGTGTGTTGAAATAGTATTCGAAGAGAATTCAGTCAAAACTTGGTGGAGGACGTGTCTTCTAAGGATGTGAGTCAATTATCTACTACTATCACCATATCTTCATCAGTCTAACGTTGGTTTGACATTTATGACCTAAACTCAGACCTTCTTTTTGAGCCTGTGTGTTAATATGTAAAGACATATGACATGGTCTGAAAAACTCCCACCAAATGCGTCCCAGTACCTTTGATTTTTAAATGATTATTTCAGGCTTTACAAGGCGACTCGCAGAGCACAGCATATTTTAGCATGTTCTTTTTACATCATTACTCAGTGATGCTACTTCTTTCAGTTTTAACCAAAAAACATTACACAGTGCTGCTTTAAAGACTTGCTGATGTGGTTTAGAGCACAGTATGACATTGTGAACTATAAAAATGAACAAAACGTCACCGCTACAAGTAGCTACTTCATACACTACCAGGGCGGGTATTCACATAGCAGGACTGATTTTGTGTCAGATTCCTCCACATTGGTCACCGCCACAAAAACAGATTCTAGATTCTAGACATCCCTCTCCTGAGGTGGTTTGTGAATGCAGACCCTGTTGTGTGAAGTGCCTGCCAGCAATTTTGTCCATGTTTATAGCTCACAGTAAGTCATACTATGTCCTAAACCACATCAGCAAGTCTTTGCAACCTTAACAAAGACCTGGATGAAGTCTGATGAGGCTGAAAGAAGTTTTAATTATGTACTTTTGCAGAAACAATTTCAGTTTATTTGGGTGACTATTGAGTTCTAGTCTTTCTCAGCAATGTTAGCTTTGTCGCTCCAGCTCTAAACTAAAGAAAAAAATTGGACAAATCTCTGCCAATCAGCTACATTTGCAGTAAATGGAAAATTGTGTAAATCAGATTGTTTGCTGAACCATCGCTTTAACATTTGCTGTGAGTCCTATATCTAAGGTAAATAAGACAGCAAAGCAGGCTAGTTACAAGCTATGTGCACAAACAAAAGAACCTGCTAATAACCATTCTTACCTTGGCCCTATCAGTTTCCTGACACATGGATACTGCCTCTTGGGGCGAAACCATGTTCCATAGGCCATCGCTTCCCAAAATGATGTAACGGTGCCTCTTTAAATCCAGCTTAATGACTGCAGTATCAGGCTCTGGTGAAACTACAAACTCCCCACTGTAGAAGTCATAGCTCCATAAATCACCTGGAAAAAGACAATTGCAGTGTTTGTTTGCTTAATAGAACACCTTGTTTTAGTGTGCAAAAGTTTTCACTTATTATTACTAGAATTAGAATCAAAATAATTTTATTTCACCAAGTGTGTTACACAAAAAAGAAATTTGTCTTGGTGAGTGCACACATGTATGACATGTAACATACTGAAGAGACCAGACAAACACACAGACTGTTAACAAATATTTAACTAAGGAACAAATACAAAAAAATACGATAAACAGAATTAAGAATAAGAAAGACCAATAAAGAGTCAATGTGAAACAAGCTAAAGAGATACGTGAGTATCTGTGTTGGAACGCCACCATCTCTGGAACCAATCTCAGTTCTAAACACCACCCTCTCTGGAACAAATCTCAGTTCTAAACACCAACGCTAGGCCAGAAATGAGTATTTTCCTCCCACTGTGTCTCACCCAAAGCTCGAGCAACAGCAAGGAAGGGGATTTGGTCGATAACGGTGCTCCTTCTGACTGGTCCATTGTGAGTGAGCCTGGGTCTCTTCCACACAACTCTATTTACCCCAGACTTTTTAATTACACTGAAAAAGATAAAAAATGCCAATAAAAGATTTTAATATAGTAAAAATGCCATCTTCGTATGTTTATAATAACCAGAGCTTCCTGGATATAAGTCTGCTTAAACTAATTTCCTACAACTAATTCATAAAGTGTTTATTTAATATGTATTGCTGTTGTCTGAAGAAAACCTTGTATCTCCAAAATGATAACTTTACAGGAAAAGGAAAAAACATACTTTACTTTTAATGTAAGTCAAAGTCATTTAGGGTCATTACTTTCAGTCCATTCATCATGAAGTTTACGCACAACGTAATGGGGCAACAGTCATTTTCAACTTTTGTCAAAAACTGAAAAACAATAAAAACAGAGACACAAGATTTTCTTCCAACAGCAGCAATATATTACTATTCAAAATTAGGAATCACTTGTTATATTAATAACTGTCACAAACTAGATCCCAAAACATTAACTGATGGTTTATTCACGATTTAAGATATTTTGGGAACAATAAGTTACAACATGATAAAAAAAAAATTAGCAAGTGTTATTAAGTATTACATAAATGATTAAAAACAGTAAATCAAAATGTTTGAGTGGTGATTCTAAACTTTTGAAGTAGTAGCATACATGAGCCCAGTTAACACCAATAAAATAAGAGCACGTAAGTTACATCTATGTGTTTGTGTGTTTGACACTCACCTGCCTCCTAGTCCCTCAATTCTCTTTCTCTCTTTGGGGAGTTCTGGCTTGTGATCTTGTGTGATTTCCTCTGCTCGTATAATCTCTTCATCAGGATCGTCTTGCACACCTAAAACCACAGCTGAGTCCCCAACGTGAGCCACGTACATGCGATCACGTCGAATTACAACAACGCTTGCTGTTGTTCCTGACGTGCTGGGAAGGCCAGTGGCTGTCCTCGGCCATTCCGCTGGAGGAAATAAGAAAAATAACATTTTTAGTGACAGTTACGTTGTTATTGACATATTTTAAAAGTCATTAAACTGTCTTTATATCACTCCAGCAAACTTACATAATGATTTATAAAATAATATACGAGGATTATATGTAATTTCTGTAGTACCAAAAAAACAACACTGTGATGATGAACAGTGTATCATCTTTCATGGAAAACAAAATAGAGCAACCGATGTAAACCGGGCGTTTGTGTGTAGAGTAGGAGGGGAGTGGGGAGGGCTCATTTTATGTACACACCCACACTCGAGTGTAAACTGTGAATTCTTCTTTTGTTAAACTAAGCTCTGTAGAATCAAGACCTGTTTACAAACACAACACCGAAAATCAAATCTTAGTCTCAGAATTGAAAATCGTGTCGAATCTGAACATGTACGTATCGTTACTCTCTACGATCTTATCTAAGAAGCGGGTCGGTTAGCCGCCTACTAGCGCCAAAGTCCTGAACGGCTGAGCTTAATCTAGCATAGATTCGCTCTCGCTAGCATTGGGGTAACTCACGTAGTTTCTTCCACATGGCATGGTGGCAGGCAATGAATCCTTTCCGTATAGCTGCGCACACCTCTTCGTCATCTTTAGACCAAAAGCCTCTTTGTTTTTTGATAAGATCCCACAGATGTTCCTGAGCGTAGCTCGCCGCATCCGGGCCGCCATGGCCGTCGAAAACCGCGTAGAAAGCCACGGCCCGCGAGCGAGCTCTCGAAGAGGAAGCGTCCTGACGAGGGGAGCAGCTTTCAGCTCCGCATCTCGGTGTGGCTGATCGGCTTCCCTCACCCGCGCTGCTGGCTGGAGTTCGTTCTCCGGGTTCACTTTCAAGTTTGTAATTCCCATTTCCTACCGCTTCCGTCTCGCCATGTTCAGCAGCGTTCAGCTCGTCCTCGCTCGGCTCGTCGTCCTGTTTTATCTGAACGAAATCCTCCATGTACTTCCTGCCTCCCTGGTCCAAATAAACGCTTGCTCGACATGAAAATACGTTCTCCATGGTCGATATGATGCAGTTGACTGGAACAGCTGTCGTTTAGAGTTAAAAGTGAAATGCTTCACAGGTCTGCCTTCGGTCTTTGTTTATTTTCGACCTTTGTAGGCATGCTCCGAAAACGGTGACGTCAGCAGGCGGAGGATGGTTCAGAAAAATGGAAGTGGTCGTACATTAAAAGCCCTACTGCACCACCGAGGGGTTTCAGTACAGCAATGCGTCAGGCTTTCTTCACAGAAGGAGGCTGTTTGAGGCCTCAAGGCTACGTCTATTACGTTTCCCCTCGCATACTGCAAGATCTGAGCACTTTCAATGGAGTGCTTCACCAAAAACTTAAATTCACATTAAATTCCCCCATAAAACATCGTGGACTGGCCAAGACATGTCTAGTGTCCAAAGCTCTCTCCTTTAGTTTCGCACTGGTGCTACACAGCTTATGCAGCTTAAAAGCAATGGAAGTGTAATATATTGACCTTCTAGCCATAGTGCATAGCTAAAGAAGCGAATATTAAACACGCACTGCCCAATGTTTGCGATAAGGGGAAAATTGTGCAAATTAGAGCTTTTGGTGAATTATTTCTTTGATGGAGCGGCAGAGCAGCTCTGGGAAATCCCAGCCTTTGTAATATATATATTTATGTATATGCAGGAAACAAAAAAATAAAATTTCTAGTGACAGTTACATTGTTATTGGCATATTTTAATGATATCATATGATTGTTTATTATTTCCATAGTGTCAAAAATTAATATTGTAACATAAAAATGAAGTGTATCATCTTTCATGGACAACAAAATAGGACAGTGATGAAAAGTGGCGAGTAAAGTAGTAAAGTTACACTGTAATGTAAATTGTAAATTCTTACTTTGTTAAACTAAGCTCTGTAGAATCAAAACATTTTTACACATACAATATCAAAAATCGAATCTTGATCTCAGAATCGAAAATCATTGTATCAAAAAAGACACACACACACACACACACATACATATATATATATATATGTATATATATATATATATATACACATATATATATATATATATATATATATATATATGTAATTTTTTAAAGCATTCTGTTCAAATTTAAAAAGCCATGAATTCTTACTTATGATAACTAAAATCTAACAAGCTAGAATATAATCCTTCTAGTAAACGTTGAATTTGGATATGTTGGAATTCAAAATCTTTACAGGTAAAAATGTATTCTTTCACTGGTATTAATATAGTTTTTACTTGATTTTAAGATGGTCTGTGCTAATGACACCCACGCAAATCCGCTTTTATTTTGAAATGTGCTAGTGTGGCGGTCTGGCTGCTTTGGAAGTAGAATCGATAGTTAAAGGAAGCAGACGGGGGGACGGTTTTTGTCAGCCTCTGTGGACGGTGAAGCATAACCCTACACCAGCCACGTTTTTGAGCCACTTTGGTTTCCGCAGGTGAAGCATTGCAACATAAAGCACTTGCATGCTGTGGTGCACGCGTCGCTTTAAACTTAAATCGCTCTGTCGCTGCTTTGTTTCAACTTTGCTAACTTAGCCTCTCTGCTAGCTCGCCTGCTGTCTGGTTTGGTTCAGCCCGCTAGTCGGTGTCCAGCGTTTGTCACTTGTAGTTAAGCATACATGAGTGGCTTTGCATGGCTTCAAAACAGTGTTAAATGGCTCTGTTACTTCAACGAGTATGGAAATGTGTATCGCTCTAGGCAACCTTTTAGAACGAGATCATATCTGGGTGAACTACTAGCTAACCCAGCTAGCTAATTAATAATACGCTTAGGAGGTGTTTAAATAGGCAGTGGATGACGCTCCAGGGACAGTGTTGTATGGCACGATCATCCCTCGTTATTACACGATTAGCTGAGGTTATGTCTGTAGCTAACCTCCAAGTCGTCTGTTGAATTTAGGGTCACAGACATTGAGGCATTTCCTCTTATAGGCCTGTAGCAGCTAACACAAAGATCATGTAATATTTTGAGCAAGTTTCGTTTTGGTAACTACTACTTTTTCTTATCACGGAATTCCTTGACCATCCTGTGTATAATGCTGTAAGCCAGTGTGTTTTTACCAGGCTGAAGTCAACTTTTTATTCGCAAGCCTCTTGTTCGAAGTTTTCCGTTCCACCTTAAATGTTGCATTAATTACATTGTGGCTTGAGGCGCCAGAATGCAACTGCTTCAACTGCTGCACCATTTAAGGTGGGACGAGAAAATAGGAGCAAGACGCTAATTTGAGCTTTGTTGATTTTCTATTGACAAATTAGCTCTTTTTGCTGTGTCCTTTACGTTAACGTGGTTATGTTCGTTTTCACTTAGTTTGGTTGACTGTTAATTCACCTCGACCTGAGAGGTTGACAGACAGAAACCGCCACTGGTGTTTGAAGACAGGCTTCCAGCCATGGTGAGTTGCCAGTCCTTTAATTTCAGTGCAGCACAGTGCTATGTAGATGTGTTAAAGGGAACATGGTTTATGGAATATTTAATTGCTGAGATGTGAACAAAATTGAAAAGAGTGTTTTGATGTGAAAAGCGTGTATTGTAGAAAAACTTGTTAACTATGATTTCCTAACAGTGATGGTGGTAGGGACAGTCACCAGTGAACCTTCACGTTTTTTATATGTAATGATAATAGTAAAAGAGTGGTACATCTGGTTTAAAGAAATATATATATATATATATATATATATATAGTATATATGTATATATATATATATATATATATATATATATATAAATTTTTTTATGTGATGTAGCTTTTAGAGGTTTTCAGAGCTTTAGATGTCTAATTAATGTATACACCAAATAAATATTTCACCTCAGACTATGCCGAATCAAAAATGGATGAAAAAATAAGTGAATTTCCCCCTTTAAGTTGCAGAAATTTTCAAATGAAACAAAAAAAAATCATTTGCATCTGAAAATGTCAGATGTAGAAATTGAAAGAAGACACTACACTTCAACTGCAATACATTATTTTTTTGTGCTGCTTGTGCCAACCCTTACAAAAATGATTTATAGCAATGCTCTAAGAAACTCTATCTTTAGCAAACTTTTATTATAATCTATATATATTTTTTACCCTCCATGATAATCCGGTAATACTTCTTATTTTATAGTAATCTGCAAAACGTGTATAGTATCCTGTAGTGAACTATAGTAATTGTCTGAATTTAAGGGAAGGTTGTTATAGCAGTCCTATATAAATTTCTGGTGTGGTACTATAGATATAAGTGGTATCATCTGTTTGAGTCTGCATAGACTAATTTTGTGCTATTGCTTTACAACCAGGCCTTAAACAGACTATGTGGCAGTAAACCTATTTAGACCAACCTAAACAAATTCTTTATAAAATACACATTGTCATGTTACCCCATGAAACATTTGGAAAACAAAGTCATTACACTGTGTTTTGTGTGTGTGTGTGAAATCTGACTCTATGCATAATAATCATGTTATGGGAAAAATATATGAAATAAGCAGTTTAGTTCTAATTTGTGAACATTGTAAGCTTTGCCTTTTGCCCTCTTTGTGCTAGTCTGCTGTGGTGGATCTGAAGACGAAGGAGGAGAAGGATGCAGAGTTGGACAGACGGATTGAGGCTCTGCGGAAAAAGAATGAGGCTTTAGTGAGGAGATACCAGGTAAGTGAGTATGGTAAAAGTCCCAAGACCTTCTCCACTTTCACTTATTTATTTATTTATTTATTTATTGTCTCTTATCTGTTAGGCATAATCTTTTGTGGTGTAGCATGTTGTAATAAAGCTACCTACTTGCATACATGGTAGCATATATCCAGTAAAAAAAAACAAGAAATGCAGAACTTGTGGGGACGAAGCATGAAATCTCTTACGTAGTTGTAAGTGGTGATATCTTGAATAAAGACACAACAAAGTCTTCATTTTGTTGTATTAATTTAATACTGCATTACTTGCTTTAATCACCACTATTACCTCAAACACAATGCTTTATGGAAGGTATTTTCTTTTGATATTCGCCTAATGCCTGACCCCTTAATAAGAGACAGGGTGTGGATTTGAAATGGAGCAAATACATTTTGCAGCAGCAGTAGACTAGACATGTTCTCTCATTAGAATGATATTTTTCTGTTATAAAAATAATGGGCAACATGCATGTGATGTTCTCACATCTGACAGTGCCTTTATTTATAGAACGGTTTTGACTAATAAATCCGAAAGTAGTGGCACAATTTGGGTCTTTATCAGTGCTACTAGACTTTTTTTTTTTCCTCATTTTTTTGTGTCTTTTCTCATGATCTGTACACTTCATCTGCTCCACAATCAGGAAATAGAAGAGGACAAAAAGAAGGCTGAACAGGAGGGCATCGCTGTGACAACAACCCGCAAACCCCGCTCTCATGAGTCTGATTCAGAACGACGGAAGATTGAGAAAGAAAATTTAACTGTGACAGTTGACCTGTCCAAACCTAGTGGGGTAAGTACTATCGTGCCTATAGATTTTGAATGCTAAGCAGGACGTTTTGTTTCAATACTTTTAGTGTTCTGTTACAAAATGTTATTTGTAGGGGTCGACTGATATGTTTTTTTTTTTCTTTTTTTCAGGGCTGATAACAATTGTTAGTTAACAAAGACAACAGTAACTGATGTTTGATATTCATTTAACATAAATTTGTTGTTTGTAGTGTGAAAATTTATAAGAAACTCTTACTTACATTAAATGAATATTAGAACCTTGTAAAAATAAAGTGCTTTAAGCTTCAGACATTAAAAGTTGCAAAAGAATACTTAAAACATTTTAAAAGCAATCTTTAAACAGAAAAAAATAAATAGTTCTCCATGATGTTTAATAGTCAGTGAAATTTGTAAGAAAAAACGGAGCTCAAAAAATTAAAATTAAAAATGTACATAAATGGGTGTAAACAAGAAAGCCTAGATACTGGTTAAAAAGGCCTACACTAACCAAATACATAGAACTGTAAATGTAACCCCAGTAAAAATATTACAGTAAGCATCTAAGCTATCATGCAATAAAAATTGTCATGACTTTGTAAAAAGCAACAACAATGAGGGTATTTTTATTTTATTTTGTTGTTCAATCAAAAATATATTTCATGTGATAACAAGCAGTAGTTGGATGTGTTGAATTTATCAGACATATTCTGATTGACTTCTGAGAATGTGCTGCATGATCCAATGGAAACGGCTCATTTCGCCCTAGCAAAGTGGTGGAATAAGCTATATAACTGAATGCATTATTTTTGCCAGATCTATGTTCAACCTTGATATCTTTCCTCTCACTGTGGAAGTGAAGAAGTTTCCTTCTTGCGACTCTTGTAGAACCGAAAAGCAGGTTCACATTTCTGACAATCAGTACAAAACTAAACAGTAGCACTGTGAGAAGGACAGAAAGACAGAGAACAGGAGTGCTGGTTGGTTGTACTTGATGCGTCATCCATGTTTCAAGCAGTCCAGTAACATTGGATCAGTGGGTGGGACATTGGGTAAGACTACAGAAGTGTGTTTTTTTTATTGTGGTTGTCAGATATGGGCATAAATAAGTTCAAATGCTGATTCCGATAATCAGAAAAATGCTAAATATCAGCTCTGATTGTCGATTGGGCTGATAATTGGTTAACTATTAATTTGTACCTGTCTCTAATAATTCAATTGAGATTTGTGGACAATTTTTATTTATTATTAATAAATAAAGCTGATGCTGCTACAACAGAACTCTAATCATACTCACCACACCTTTTCCTCACAGCTCTCAAGTTTTTAATTTCCCACCTAGGGTTTGCTGAGACAGGCTGTAGTGCATTTTAATCAATACCTGTTGAGTTACTCTGGGACACAGATGGCCTGTGCAGTGGTGATTAGACCACCTCTTGTGGCCTATGAAGGTCAAGCATCTTGCTGAATGGACTATGACATATGATAGCACTTTGAGGATAATAGGTATGGTAGTAGATCTACAGGCATGTGGCATTTGTTGAGTGTATCTGCGTTTACTTCACTTGATTCAAATGTGTACAGCATTTTCAATACTTAATTACTGCCAAAAGTAAATAAACTGAAAGACAAAACCATTTTCATATATTTATACATGTGGAAATTCTGTACACATTTGGTACAGGAGTAGAAATGAGTCTTTTCGCTACTAGTGTCAAACAGCAGCAAGACAACTGTCAGCTGCAAAATTGCAGTGTGCTAACAAAGTCTTTATGATGAAATATTTCAGTTTTTCAGGACCTTCCAGAGGTTCAGACAGGACTACCAGCAATGATTTTTTAAGAAGGACAGTATAGGGCAGTATAGATTTTTATAGGGCAAATTTTTATAGCACACTGAACAAAGTTGATTTGCTCATTAGAGCAGGTGAGGTTGTGCAGGGTATGTGGTCCTTTAATGAATGGTGAGCTTTAGATCCTGGTCTCTCTTTGTATTCACAGGAGAAGCGAGTTGTGAATGACAGGAAATCAGGGTCTCACCGTGGTGATCATGGCCCAGAAGAGGGAGACGGAGGGCAGCCGCATGGTGAGAGTCCTCCTCGCAAGACTGGGTCAGGCCGGCTTAACAGAGGCGGGCAGCGTGGGGGAAGTCAGCGCTCTGAAAGGAGAGAACCACGACCAGATAAAGGAGACCTGCGAACTGACAGACCACCATGGGAGGGGGAAGGGGGAGAAGGCCGCCCACGAGGTGGACGAAGAGGAGGAAGAGGAGGGTCTCAACAAGGCGGCTCTGACAGAAAGTCCAAGGTGGGTGCTTTGGGACCCCTCACGCTAATTTATTATTATTATTATTATTATTACATTGTCTATTCCATGACAAGGTAAATTTGCTTTGCTCAGGAATGGGAGGAGAAAAGGAGGCAGAACATTGAAAAGATGAACGAGGAGATGGAGAAGATTGCTGAGTATGAGAGAGGTCAAAGGGTATGTAGAGCAAAAGTTTTTAGTTACCTGCTCTGTATTTAGGTAAAGTGCTGGCATGCACATAGCGCTGTGCCCAGTGAAGATTAATCACTTTACCCTGTCAGCAGTTCCCATTGACGAACAAACTTGTTTACTGCAAGTTTAGAAAAACTTTGCTCATTTGTGTGTGTATATATATTTCATGCAAACTATAGCAAAACACTTCCCATGAGTGAACATAACTCAGATTTTAAACAGAGTGAGTTGTGATATTTTACAATAATACCACATTTATTGGACATAACATAGATGTGATTGTTGTAGAAATGCAGATGTCAGGTCTGTATGAAAAAGCTGCCCATGGGATATGTTTTAGGACATCCTCAGACTACAGCCTTAGGTTGCTGACATAAGAAAATATGGCTTTGAGTCTCAGGAAAAACCAGAGTTAAAACACTGTGCTCTCTTGCATTAACTAAACAGCCTCATGCAAAATACTTTTTAAATAAAAAAATTATTTTTACTAGATTAATTACAATTTTGTGGCCATACTAAAGATGACAATATACTACAACCATATCATTTACTGATATGTGCTATTATGCTCTTTTGTTTGACAGATTATTTTTATTTTTTATTATTTATTTTATTTACTTTTCAAAATTACTGGACAAAAGGTAAAGCAATGAAGGGAAAAAGGTTATTCACACAGGCTTACACTGTTCTTACATGTTTGGTTTTGCTCATTCAGAATGATGGAGAGAAGAACCCCACTCGGAACTTCCTGGATGATCCTCGACGCAGTGGGCCAATCCCTGAGACGGATCGCAAAGAGGGAAGTCGCAGACATGTGCGCAACTGGGGTGGACTGGACTTCGATAATGTGAAGACTGGGGCAGAGGTGCAGAAAGAGTGGACGGTTAGAGACAACTTGCAGCACAAACTGATTGATCTTATTCACTGTAATCCCACAGACAAATTATTCCAGCAGACTAAGGGTTCACTTAATGATCTTAAGAGTTATTATTCAGTAACTGTATTTTGGTCAGTAACTGCTGTGAAACTAATATGTAAATTGTGTAGTAGTAGTAGTATGAGTATAGAACTGCAGTGTGGACAAACATGTGGGTTCCTGAAAGTACATAAAGTAATATGAAGAAAACTTACTCAGTCTGTCTACTGCCCACACTTTCTCTATCACTGTCTCTCCTGTCTTTTCTCTTTCTCTCTACCCCAACCATAGAATCAGAGGCCTGGAGGAAAAGGCTCGATGGATATGACTCTGTCTATGACGGGGCGAGAGCGGGCGGAGTACCTGCGCTGGAAAAAGGAGCGTGAGCAGATAGATGAGGAGAGACTGGCCCGCCATCGCAACGCTACTGGCCAGTGGAGACGAGAGTGGGATGCCCAGAAAACAGACACAATGTGAGAGTCTGAAAAAAATATACACAGTAAAATACAGTGTGGTCCTAACATCTGAGACTGCACTGAAAATCTGGCAATTTTTTTCATTCTAACCTGGAAATGAGCAACAGAAATTTTAGAATTTTGAAAACAAAGAGAAGCTATAACAAGTAAAAGGAAGAAATATACAAGATTTTGCACTATTTCTAGGTCACTATTCAAATTTAGGGAGATAAGGCCTTTAAACGAAAAGTTCTAATTTTTACATTGATACTTTCATATGGATTTGATCTACCTATCAGAGGCTTTTGTTGAGACCATGCCAGCTTGAGTGCATACAGCCATTAAAACAAAAGGTGGATATGCCACTAACTAAGAAATTCTTAAATGCATGCAAATATTTCAGACATTACTTTTAACTCAAACTGAGATGCTGGTAACATATTTTGAAATGGGATAATTTGCATTTAATTAGAAAGGATTGCCAAAAAGATACATTGTCACTAGTGGAGTCGCTGTATATTGTGTGCTTGTGAGTGAGAGAGAGAAATTCATGTAAGAGAGTGTGTGAGTAGGAGTGTGGCTGAGAGGGTGGATGTCTGAGTGAAGGAGTAATGCGTGTTGACAGGAAGAGAATAAGAAGATGAGTGACCCTGTGGTGTGGTGTTCACAGGTTCAACGAGGACCCAGCTGTGGTTGGAGAGGGCATGCCAGAACCAAGCAGCAGGAGAGGCAAGTCTCTCTCTCTCTCTCTCTCTCTGTCTTACACACATACACACTCCATGGGAGTGAGAAGTATGCATATACATGGAGTGTCACTGCACCTTTTTACATAAGGTTAAATATGCTTTAGTCTGTGATTCTATCTGCAGTAAGACATCAATAGATCTAAAGGTTTGAAAACTACTTTTCTTTTGTACTGTGAATAACTAAAGCAATAGTTCAGCTCAAAATCAAAACGATTTTCCCCTGTACCCCAAATGTAGCCAATCAGCCAAGACATGTTTTCTGTTCAAAGTATGTTTCTTGAGGTTTGCACTGAGGCTGCGAGGCAAACCTACAATGTATTCAAACGTTTGGTCATACTTAAAAAATGTATTAAGTTAATTGTCATAGAAAACAAAATGTCTGGTCAAATCAAGTGCCATGTGATTTGAAGCAGACCGTTCAAAGACTGCAATTTTTTGGCAAATTATTCTTTCAAAAGGCATGTGTTTCCAATTAACATTTGAGCAGTTTCTGACTTCTGCAGATTTGTGCTCTTCTGAGGTCACGGTCACATCAGTGAACTAGGAATTAGCCAGAATGTTTGAATATTCAAATGATCACGAAAGTTGAAAAATTAAGTATTAAAGTAGGATGTTTTTATTATTGTTTTATTATTATTCATTTTTTATTTTCCAATGAGCTTGTCTCTGACGATAAATGTTCTTATAAGAACCAGGAGATATCTGAAGTATACTTCATTAGAGGGCAGTGTAGAGCTGGCGTCTTACATTTTGGTCAGGGTTTCCTGTCTCGTCTACTCCAAAGGAAGCGTAGCATGACTATCAAAGCTGGCTAAGGGCTACATGAAAAGCGGGTGGCCAGAGGGTCTCTGGTACTGGGTAGTAGTTCAAATCACAGCTGTAGTGTATATAGGGTAGTAAGCATTACAGAAAAACACTGATAAACATCAAGCTCATTTTACACTCTGCTCATGTAACTGTAATGGAATAAAACATTCAACATTGTTTAAGTTAAGTTTGGTATCAGCTAACTAACTTCACACAAACTCGCTGTTTTTGATCTAAAGGTATGAAGTGAAATACCATGTGGCTACACTAATGACATTAGCTGAGATACAAACAAACCATTATCTTACAGATTTTATATTGAAGCCTAAATTTTGTCTGTACTTTTGTGCATTTTTACATTAACAGTAGACAGGCAGTTTGCACAATATGAACTGGTGGATATTAGAGCCCAACCAATAAATGGGCATGCCGATATTATCTGACAGTATGAGCTAATTGCAGATAAATCAGTATTGGTGTTTATAACGGCCAATAAATGACAAAAAAGAAACGGAGAGACGGAAGATGGGTCCATGTTATTGGTGTTGCCGTTGCCTCAGAAGGCACTCTGCAACCTCCCTGTAGGCAACACACGTTTGGAACGCCACAAATCACAACGATCAGCTGAACCGAGCAGAGTATTCCATGACGGAGATAATCTGCATTCATTTTAAGTAGATAATTGTCACCTGAAATACATTACTAAAATAATAATAAAAAATCTCCCTATCACTTCTCCTGACCTAAATAAGCTTGGCAACATTCATGTTGGCTATGCATGCTTTTGCTGCAGTAACGTGACTAATTGTGCTACTTTACAGTAGAACATATTTATAGGTAGCTTTGTACATAAAACTTCTAGATAGGATGGTTTGATGGCTTAAATCACCTTATCAAAAAATCCTGCCAGCATTAAAACTCTGAAACTGATGTCAGCCTCTTATTTGCCAGCTTCTAACAAGAAGGCACCTGAGGTGCCAGGATGTAACTGCTGCCCCATTTAAGGTGGAACAGGAAGATATGAACAAGAAGCTGGTGAATGTCCTTACCAGAAAATGCTACCAGCATTAAAATAATAGTTAGGATATTTTGATTGCCTAAATCACCTTATTGAAAGGAAGTATTAATATTAAGCTGAGTCTGTCCTGAATTTAAATGAAAACTATTAATTACTATGCTGTACTAATGATATGCACATGCTTAGTAGGACAAATTGTTGAACACCACCACTGTCAGGCAAACATCACAGTTAGCCTTCGTTTAACATTACTGTAGTTGAGTGATGTAGGCTAAGCTGTTGGTAAACTCGATTGTAGATTTATTTATGAAACAGTTAACAAACAGTAAAACAAACAGTGAGTAAACAAGTAGTCCTGTCTTTTCTCTTTAGCTCGTCACTTCAAAAAATTCTCTGGCAACATCACTTACAGCAGCTTATAATGCTGTTCATCGCTAAATTTAGGTTACCTAAAAAGCTAGCTAATGTTATGTCTATCAATGGGAAAACAACTAAACAATAAGCAGTTGAGCAGTTAAACCATAGCCTTATTCTGCCTAAATGAAGCAAAAAAGAACATTGGTCAACATATCGCATATGTTGGAGTTTTAAAGCCTCAAATATTGTAATTGGTATCGGTTTTGAAAATCCTATATCAGTTGGGCTCTGGTGGCTGAAAGCGTCCATTATGTATTACTTGCCTCACAGCTCCAGGACAAAACTAAACAACTAGTAACTAAACATACTTTCACTGATCGACTGTATTTGGGGTAGGGGGGCGTGTAAATTTGATTTTTGGCTAAACCATTGCTGTAAGACTATTTTTGGCCCCTCATTGTTGTAGCTCTTTGGTGATATTGTTTGATGTGTTCTTTCAGCAGCTAGGGGGCGTAATGCCCGTGCACAGCAGCGCAGTGGGGCTTCAGGTCAGCCTGTGGCATGGGACTGTCTTGTGTGTGGCGTGTCTTTCTTTTATCCCACTCCACATTGACCCTGCCAAAGGACAGCCTTCACACTAACTCACCAAACGTGTGCTTTATGGTCACGCTGTCTATCTGTTTCAGTTGTGTTCATGTTAAACTGTAGATAGGAATTGTTATCCTCTGATAAAGTAATAAATAGTAATTCAGAGGGTTTGGGAATATTTCTTTTGCAAGAGTTTGAGGGTTTGCATCTTTTGCCATATGCACTCGTTTGCTAATTGCTCAGCTTTGCTGTGTGCCTCATCACCTTTAAGTCAAGACCTTTTAGTCTCATGTCAAATCAATGCCACATTTGCATGTTTGTCTCATCTTTTACCCTGCCCCCCTCACTGAAGACTGATTTCATGTGAATATCAATCCATCATGATGAGTGGAGGGCCATCTGTTACTGTGAGCTGTGCTCTCCACTGCTAGTCTGTTATATGTAATTACTTTCCAGGATCTTGCAGCACTCCATGGCTTCCTTTTAAGATGTTCATTATTCAACTCTCCTCTCTTCCAGAGGACAGCAAGAAGCCCCCCAAGGCGCCCACGTTTGGAGACTTTTTGGGACAGGATAAACCACGAGAGAGAAACCGTGGAGGCCGTGGAAGAGGGAAAGGTCGAGGTCAGGCCAAGAGCTACAGGTAGTTCATTCTGCCGAACACAGTCACTCACTCTTAAAGGAATGCTGTGGCAAAAAATCAATATTACACATTTTTCTACTTCCCCCATATGTAGTCACAGTTGCTGTCCAAGGTTTTGTTTAGTTTAGCACTGGAGCTATGAGGCTAATGTTACTAACAAACATTTTCACTGTTGCACTGATGTCTTTTTTTCAATTTTCTTTCTAATTAAAGGGTTAAGATGTAGGCAGTCATTTAGTGTGGATTGGTGTGAAATGCTCTGTTCTAGAGAAACTTGCTGAGTCAGAACTGCTCACAGTGGTGGTGATAGGAAAGAAACATCATCAAGTTCAATGCTTAAAATCTACTTCACAAAAATTATGTATTTCTGGGCATTTTGAACAGCCATCAAAAGTGTTATATTTGCTCTGTGACCCTTGATTGCTGTCACCAACTCTGTAAGGAAATCCAAGTCAGTAAGTTTCTCTACAGTGAACCATTTCACATCAAACCACTCTAAATGTAAACTTTATTTACATCTTTACCACTGAACTTTGCTGTTTTGAAAAAAGGTGTAATTCCCCTTTAAAGACAAATATAAATCTTATCTTAAAAATACAGTACATACACTGTAACGGTTCAGTGTATTGGTTTTTGGGCTTGCTCAGCCTTTGCTAATTTCTCTTCATGCACCTTTTCTTTAGCTTTTTCACAGTAAATAGTTTTGAATATATTTATAATATTTACAAACCTCTCTCTTCAAGTATGCATGATAACCGATGGGAAGCAGAGAAAGAGGAGGAAAAGGGAAAAAAGGAAGAGCTGGAGAAAGAGAAGAAGGAAGAGGACAAGCCAAAAACACCATCAGAAAAAGTCAGGTTTTTTTTTTTTTCTTTTCCGTCTCCAAGACATTTGGTGTTGCCTTAATCCTAGTTGTAAGACTTCATAAGATCTTGTTTTAAGGTTAAGCAGTTGGTGATTGCAAACAATAAGCTATTTAAATTATTTTTACTATTTATCATTTATTTCTGTTTCAATGTAATGATGGTTTTATTATGTTTAAAAATAAAACTGTTTTGTGTACACGTGCTATCATTGTCTCTGGCACTAAAGCAGCCTGCAAATGCTGTGGACAAACCAGTCTGTGGAGGTGCAGCTGAGGATGACGATGATGAGTGGGAGGATGCCAGTGATGGAGAGGAAGGTGATGAAGGGGAGGCGGGAGAAAAGCGTCAGGATAAAGAGAAAGGTGCTCAGAAAGACTCTAAACCCACAGAAAAGGCAGCTGGCTCTTCTGGTCCCTCCACTCCCAGTCCTAAAGAACAACGGACTTCCAGGCTGAAAGTGCAAATCCCATCTCCCCAAGAGACCCTCAGCACCCCTGAGGCCACAAAGCCCCTCAGCCCCTTTTCCCCACTGGAGAGCCACCAGCCTGTATCAGACTGGGGGGAAGAGATGGAGATGCAGTCTCCTAAAAGCAGCCTGGGTGAGAGCCCCCTGAGGCCTAGCAGTAATGACAGCAGTCCAGCCCAGAACAAGAGCCAAGAGAAGGAGCACGTCAGTGATGCCACAAGCCAACCTGAAGAGTCAAACAAACAGGATGACGCACAGCCTGGTAGGGACACATCAATGCTGCTTACTAATATAGCAGTGTGTCACTGACAGTAGAAATACTTGTATCTCCGAAATAGAAATACAAAATATTTGTTAATATAAAAAAGTAAAAATTACCATTTGTCTATTTGTGATTAAAATGTTTACACAATGTAAAGGTAAGCTGGCATTTTTAAATGATTTTATAAAATATTTTTATCTCATTATGTATCATTCACAGCTTAAATTTATGCACAGAATCCTGTTCTTAAGAATGTAGTTACAAAATTCTAATTCCAGATCTCACGTTGGTGGAAACAGTGAATCATTACTTTCTAAAAACATTTTGCATTGTTTTAAGTAGAGCCCAACTGAGTCCTTTTGGGCTATAAGTAGGGATGAGAATTTGGTAACCAAATGCAGTTAGTCAAGGACTAACTGTTAACCAAACAACCCTAAAATAAGACATGACCCAAAAAAACATCAAACGCAGCACTTCAGTTGATATGAACAAGGCTTTAGGCTTTATTGAATGAAAAAACACAGCCTAAAATAACAGATATGACAATAACAAAATGTGGTTTTCTTACATTTAAAAACACACATTAGCCCTACTTAATGACAAATACATAGTTTAAACACCAGTCAGCAAAGTTGGTAGTTCACAGCTGTTCCATTACATAAGGTAATTGTTGGCTAACAAATGCATTTGTAGGTTGTGGTTTAAGACTACAGTGAACAGAAGCAATATAACATTTAAAGAAAAGTCGGTTGTAGCCTACTTTAGCACTGTCATGTAGATAAATATCCTAGATGTGATAATGCTATAAATTGCACTTAGGATGGTTTCATCTCTGCTTTATCCCTTCCTCAACGGCTCGACTCCACAAAACCCAGAGTTGTGGATCACCAAAGACCGTTTAAAGGGCTCCTGGAACAAGTTGTGCTCATGTGCACTCGTATATAATTCAGAAATAGTCCTCAAGTTAAATGAAAAACTTGACTATTCAGCATTTATGGTATTTTTGGTTGTGGGTTAATCATTAACATCCCTAACTTAAAGCATTCAATCCAAAAGGAATTGACTTGGCAAAACAGGACTGACTGCTCCCAGTGTGGTGTCTATAGCATGAAGCAGTACATTTGCTTTGCTTTTAGTGATAGAGTCAGCTGCTCCTATGGTCGAGGAGGAATCGGCATCATCTGAGCCTGCTACACAAGCTGCTGACTCCACCAGCAGCAGCAAGGAGCCCAGTGTGCTACCTGCCCAGGACTCGGCCACAGAGAAGGGTAAACGCAAAAAAGATGTTATGCCATGTTCTGGACTTCATACAAGCAAGCACTAACTGTGTATATCATCTACACCAGTATACTGATATTGGGGCCACACAACATGTTTTAGTGGTAGGCCTGTGCCTGGTGGCCGTTAGTTTCGCAAGCCAGATGTCTAGCTATCAGGGAAGAGTCTGGTACTTTTTATCGCCTAACATGGCCAAGAACCGCCTACCTTGTCAGAAAGAGGCCATTTGACTGACGTGCCAGACCACCAATCGCAGCCTGCTGTTTTGGCACAATGCGTAGGTGGAGACGATTGTGAAAATCCCACTGCTATATCTGGCTCTAATATGAAAGACTCATTTGTTGTCACAGTGTTCAGTGGCAGCTGTTGGCTCTTGCTGAGTAGAATTCAGCTGGAAAAGGAAAACTTTGTTTCCCGTCTGAAGGATAAACGCTGCATTGAGGTGCATATAAACGGAAGGGTGGATAGCCAATCAGAATGCAACAGAAAAAATATTAATAGTTGTGGACCTTTGTGTGCAGAAGATACCGAAAGATACAGATACTTCACCCACGTGGCTGAGGCTGAGACTAGACTGTAACTGCGGTAACACATTTATTGTACCTAGCATACATGAGCTTGTTCTAGACAGTTGGACATCAGACAAAACAGCCTCAGGTGGTAAAGTGTGTGACATTCACAATTCAGTTCTTTCCTTCTTGATTAATTGCAGTAAACTGCACTACTATATTCTTTTATTTGACAAAGGTTAAACTTAAGCTCACACATTTTCACTGTGTTTGCTTCCTTGTCTGCTTCAATTTTAGGAATAGTCACAAAATTATCAAAAGCATGCTTGTAAACACTTGTTGAATTCAAATAAAATAAAATAAATAAATGTAGCGCACGTTTATTTTCTGTAGTTACCTGAGTAAAAGAACTTTCTTACCGGAACAGGCCTACATCAAATATTGTGATACAGTGATATATTCGGAAAATATTGTCATTTATTTTTTCCACTTATCACTACACAGAGTACTTTCTGTGCTGAATAGAATATTTGTATTTTGTATGTACTATGTAAATAACTTATGTTTACATACATCAGTGTTTAATATTTTCTTTTTCTCCCATTTCAGAGGAGAGTGCAGCCCCTACTATAGAGCCTGAACAGAAGCAGTCTGGGAGTGAGGCTGCGGTAGATGCTGTTGAGGAGTCCTTGGATCAGCCGTGCTCAGGTGCTGTTCTTATTACCGACTTTGAAACTGTGGCTTTCCGCAAGAACTCCCTTACTGCACCTGACATCTGAGCACTAATCAGCGCCCTGCCCAATCTCTCTCTCTCAATTTTTCTTTCTTTGTCTCCCTCTCTTCCTCTTCCTCTTCCTCTTCCTCTCTTTTACTGTTCGTGTCCCCGCCCACACCTCAACCTGTCCAGCTCACTCACCTCACTCTGTCTGCTCCTGTGTCTGTGTGTCTCAACGTGAGATGGCATCCGGTGCTAGGCTTGTCTCTTTCATGACAAATGGAACTGTCGTCCTTCTGCTGCTGTGGCTGTGACAGTTCTTCCCTGCTCTGGGCCTCTGTCTCCACTGTGAACCCTTCTTGACTCCCCAAGGACACAACTATAATCTTCCTGTTCATTATTTCAAGGAACCCTTTCTGTTCATTGCACCTCTTTTTGTTTTCCCTCTGGTTGACATGTTTGGATATTAGGGGTGTTATGATACACAGATTAAGGAGGAATTCCACAGATTTTACAAATAAACATAATTTAATCATTGGGATGTAGTCATTCAGATTGGTTTGATGTGAAATAGTGAATTGTAGAGAATTAGCAGCTCACGTTTCTTTACAGTGGTGGTGATCAGGGGACCACGGGTTACACTGTCCACAATGCAAACACAGGCATTTTATTTCAGATCCAATATGAAATATATGGGGGGGGGGAGAATTAAAATTGCAAAAGCAAGTTTTCTTTGGATATTGTTTTGCCTAAGAAGGTCCTACATGTATTGCTTTAAAATGAATGGTTTAAAAATGTTTTAGGCCAATCCTGTATCTCAAAACTGTCACCAGGAAGTGTATTTCTCACCATTTCATGTAACAGCTTTCTGGGAGGTAATTTTTAGAGATGTTAAATGCTTCAGTTCCACCTCACCACCACTGTGAACGATTCTGACTCAGTAGGTTTTTCTAGAATGGTGCTTTTAACATCAGACCACTCTGATTTACTTTGCTCACATCTTAACAGTTTAATTATACAGAGATCTTCCTGTAATATCCCTTTTTATATGAGATGGCAAGACAATTCATACTGTGAATCGAATATAGTTAGATTTTGTGCTGTAGTTATGTTGACAAACATAGGAATAGAGAATAATTTCCACTGATAAACACATCATTATATTCCGAAGAGAGACCAGGACAGAAAAAAACACATTTACTTGAAACCATTTACTCATTGTGTTACTAAATTTATTTGTCTTCTACGATTTTAATTGTTAATGAGTCTTTTGCCAGACACTGGTCTTGGTTTGCCAATTGGCCTTTGACTAAAAAATAATAAACGCAAAATAAATGTTTTAAAAAATGTATCATATTGTGGTGCCCAATCCACAATAGATACTGTATCATGGAATTTGTGTATCATTACACCCCTATTGGATATGGACAACGTGTCTCTTAATGCATGTTTCTAACTGCTTGAACAATTTTTATTTATTATTATTATTATTATTATTATTATTATCATTACATTTATTCATGTATGCTTAAGCATGAGTGATGTGGTGCTGAGTGGGTTAGGTAATGAGAATCAGAAGTCCCATCCTGCTGCCTCTTATTGGATTGCTGCATGGCTTCATTAACATGGGAGGGGATAAATGATGCCTAAATTGGCTATCACGCCAGAGCTGCTTGTCCGTTAGGCAGAATGTATGGTAGACAATTGAATTTTACTGCAAGCATCCACCAGCCATTCTTTCTTTAAACAATAGCATCAAATCTGTTTTCAGGCATTTAATCTTTTTTTTAAATCTGTGGATTACAGACCTGATGTTCCCACATTGCATAAATATAATAACACAAACACATTTTCACCAGGCGAATCCATAACCAGTGGTTAATGGAATTTGGAATCCAGCCTAACAAATACAGTATTTGATCTATGCATCAATCAATACATTTTTTTGACCAGCTGAAGCTGGAATTTTATGAAATATGAAAACTGTCTCCATTGCCCCAGAACCTGTATCAGGTGAGGTTTAATATCTAGGGTTATTTATACATGTTTTTAATGTAATAGACATTTTGAACTTGAACTTTGAACTAGTTGTGTGTAGAAAATAATGCATTTTGCAAAGTGCTGGAATGCATAATAAATGTTGTGCTGCTTGTCATTGTGCTTGTATCAGTCTTCCTCTCCCTATGAACTTATTTTACACAGTAGAGAAAGCCACTGGCTGTCAGGGCTGATTTTCCACATACAGATTAAGCTTGTTAGTGTTTTCAATGAAGAATCATCAGTAATGAAGTAGTTGATGCTTAATCTGTATCTGGAAACAACCTCAGTCTATAAAATGAGTTCCTTAAGTACCCTAAATCTGATCTTGTGTAATTCTGTGCCTAATATGCTGTTACCGATTATGAGCATGGCATTAGATCAGTGTCTTACACCACTAACCTGCTTCTGTCTTTCATCAACTTCATATGAACTCAGACATCATGTGAATGTAAATATAAATATCATTTGAATTATTTTCTCATTTGCATCTGAAAATGACTGAAAGAAATTAATGAATGTAGATGATTCCTATTATTTTTTTCATATTGGGCTGGGTAGGTAAATTCATTCCTGTAAGGTACTAACCAAATTACTTCAGTACTACTGGGTAGAGATGCACCAATACCAATTTTCCCTTCTGCTACTGATACTAATACCTGGTCTTCTGCTCATACCAATTCTGTGTCACAAGTAAAATGTACTAAGTTTGAATAATTAACATTTACATGTTGGATGACTTCAAATTTGACATGTTGCAGCATCTACTACTGTGCATGCAAGCATCACTTACTGCCACATGTGCAAGTCAGAAACTGCTGCATGGGATCATTATTCTCGATATCTGCTCCTGTACTGTATTTTCCTGTATTTAACTGCCATTATTGAGGTTGATACAGTATCTGCACAACACTATTATGGAATATTGAAAAGTTTCATGTCATTCAACACAAAATTTCAGTATCTAAGTCGGTCTAATTTAATCCAGATAGGAGAATTGTTGTCTAAATTACATTCCATATGATTGTTATTAAACTGAGTGCTTTTTGATTATTCTGCAGTCCTTTGCAGTCAACACTTCAAGCACCTTACATTCATGTCTGTTTTATGCACATTTTGTTTGTATTTAAAAGAAGGTACCAAAACAGTACTGTTCAAGAACTCGTAACAAAGTCGAGATGTGGGAATTGGTATTGGTATTAAACAAAACCCAGCCCTAGTTATAAATTTGAATCAAGACACTAATTGAAACTGTATCTCCTCCTTCTAAAAATCAGCAAAAAAAACTAATGGCTTTGTGTCATTGCACTGTCCAAAGTAATACATTCTTAGATTTCCCCAAATCTGATTACTGACGCACATTAAGACTGTTTAACAGGGGAGGAAATTGCAGAAGACCTCTGTTTATTGCCAGAAAGCTTTTATGTGGAAATTGTGCTGTGGTCTATCAGGCCGATGGGTGGTAATGGAAACCTTGAGAAAAGTGAATAATTTGTTCATTGTCTTTGATGGGTTTTACATGATGGACCCACTTAATGGCCACTTAATGGAGTCATTTAGTTGTAGCTTTTCTCACTTACTTACTTAAAATTGTACTTTTGTTCTGTATTTATTTCACCATGTATGTCATCAGAAGATACATTAGTAAACACATCATCAGAAGATATCAAGAGGGCTTCCAAAATGTTATTGTAAATTTTAATAATCCCACACCAGCCTAAACTACTTGAGCTACCTGTTTCAGGACAATTTTGTAAGATTTGTAAGATTCATTCTGTCAAAGTAACCACGTTTTTCTGTAGGGTACTAAACCACAGAGGAATTATTGAGCCATTTAAAGCACCACTATGACACCCTTCCCTTGCTGTTATGTTTTCTTTCTCCAGGCTAAGGAGTAATTGCAGTAGCTGAAATGTTCAGTGCTAGGGATCTTCAGAGAGAGAAAATGGGTAAGCAGTGGTGAGAAGATACTTCAGGCCTAATGGATAAAACAAGGAGGATGGAGGGAGCTTGGCTGACGTCTAATCTCCATTTCCCGACAACCCACTTTATGGTTTTATGTTCCCTCAGTCAGCTCTCAAGAAGCTATGCTACATCTCTATCATGTTGCAAAGTCTAAGACTGGATTTTATATTGGACTTGGTATTTAAACTATGATTCAATTTACACTGTTTTTAAGATAAATAAATTGCATTATTAATAATTATAAATAAATCTTGACCCCTCTACCTTAAATACTATTATAAACACTAGCCTCTGTGCATGACACTTGTACAGATGCTGTCCTAATCACAAAGTAACAACTTCTCTATAATGGCTTCAGCTGCTTTGACTTTATGCTGCTTTGGTCCTCAAGGGAGTCTAAAAGCTATTATGATTCAGTTTATGTACGATTCCTATGCAATCAATGGGGACAAGGGCATTAGGATTGTCAAAGCTGCTTGCAAAAATCTGGATTTATATAGATGGCTTGTTTCAGATTTAATTTGCATGAAAAACCAGGTGCTAGATATACACTCATTTATAATGCATTTACAAATGATGGCCCAGACTGTATATGTATGTAATCCGACCAAAGAACATGGTTTTTCATAAATGGCTTGGTAGATCAAAGCATGTAACATTGAACATTTGAGGCAGCAAAGGTGTACATCAATACAAGTGACTCTGGTTTGATTTTTTAGCTTTTTATTATTATTTTTTTAAACTCACAATCTCCATTTTTGTCTGGGAATTTTTAATGAAGTGAAAGCAGGGTGTTTTGGCTTATTGAAGCTGGTTTAGTAGTGTTTTTTTCCCACCTTTCAGCAAATAAGGATTGCAATATGTTTAGGTTTTAACAGTGACATAACATTCCAGTGCTTTGTGTGATTGCCTACCTTTCTCTTCACTGTTTGCTTTGGGAAACCTCATCTTTTTCCAAAAGAAAACAAAAGTTAATGGAGCGGCAAAAATCTTGACATTTGTGATTGTATTGTGTCTGTAGCATCTACCTGCAGATGGACTGTCTTCCTATTTGAGGTAGAGTTGTACTTTATAATTAGACCCAGCTTTGCCTCTCATGAAAGGTGCACTTAGTTTTTTAGCATTGCCCATGCAGTACTATGACAATGAAGTGTTTGTAAAGTTTATCCATCGGTGTTCTTGTGAAACACTTTTACATCTAGATCAGTAATTTTTAGCAAGTTTATTGAGAACTTTTTTGGTTGTTTTTGCCCCTCACTTTTTAATGTAAATGATGTAGTGAATCAAGGTCTTTACTTTGTTATTTACTTTAAAATGTCATATCAAATAAATGTAAATTTTTTGCCTTAAATATATATATTTTTTGTGACTGTGTTTGGTTTGTTGTGTCATATATTTGATTGCTGAAGGACTGTAGAATCTTATTTCCTTTCACTCTTGTTCACTTTTCTATTAAGTTTTTCCTGCACATTCTAAGGAAAACTTGTTAGCTAGTTAGCTAACTAGCTTGGAAGTAGGACTTACTAAAAAAGGTTTATTCAGCACAAATCATTTAGCCAGCCAGGGATTTCACAACAAAGCATGTCGACAGTTTTACTTCTATGAAGTTATTTTAAATGTATAAATGACGTTTTGAGATGCTATCATTTGAAAAATCAATCATTTAACCCTACTTGCCTCATCTAGGCACGGGATTATAATGATTTTGAACTGAATGAAAATAAGTTGTGCCAACTCAGCTGATTGGTGTTGCTCTAGCAAAATTAAGTAGATTTTGACACGTTAATGAGTTTATTAATAACTTAAGCTGTACATTCAATGGGCATAAATCTGTAAACATCCTAAAATCATTAGTTGTATATTTTTACGTATTTGTTTTGAGTCAGAATATTTTTACTGTGAATTTCGTCTGCAGAATTGTATCCAGGGGTTAAAATTGGGCCTGGACGGACCTTTGGTTCGTGTGAATGAGAGCAGAGCTCCAGTAAAGTAATTTGATCTTTGTCTAATCCGTTTGACTATTAGTTGTGATGAACCACGCTGACAGACAACCTTTAAACAGTTACATTGCCAAGATTACCATGTTTATATCTACAACATTCTACCTCATATGTATCTAGGCAAGTTTGCATAGCCAGATACAGCTTTCACTGCTGAGGAAGCTAAATCAAACATTTGTTTAGTAGAGCTGTAAACGACTTTTTACTAAATTTGACAGCTTTTAATATTGCTATTCAGCTCCATTAATTCATCGGAGTTAAATTATGCTAGGTAGGGGCTGGAGTGCCTCCAAATCTGACCGGATGGCACTGAACACTTAATAAAGCCATGAAGACAGAAACAGATATACCATCACATGTCCATGATGCTAAGAGCTGCATACAATACCACATATATTTAATTATTGTTTCCACATTGTTGAGGCCCACTGAAAATAGGGCTCCTCCATCTCTAAAATCCCAGTTTGACCTCGGGCGGTATCGTGCATTTCAAGAGGGAATTAATTCATCAGGCTCTTCGGTTACTTTTTTCAGATAACCTATACTGCTAATTCTGACCAATGGCAGAGCGGCGTTAAGCCCCGCCCACCGCTCCGCTGTAAATAAACGACACTAAGCGCGTTTTTCTGCCTCGGGTGTTTGAAAGCTGCAGATCCTGAAGTGTCCCAGGCTGAGCGAAGCGATTTCAGCGCGCTGTACCATCACCAAGACCCCCTTCTGATCTCGCATTAACTTACTGAAAGCAGCCGTCCCGTGGAAGAGGGGGCTTCATCTGTCCTCCCACAATGAAAGGAGCCAAAGCAGGCGCGACTGGAAGGATAAACGGGGGTCCGGACCGAAGACCGAGTTATCCGGGGGACCAGTGGATAAAGCAGGCCAACTCGGCCACCAAAATCTGGGTGAAAGTGGCCATGGGCATCGCTTACTTCCTCTGCGTTTCCATTGCTGCCTTCGTCTTGGCTATTTACTATGTTATCTTCTGGAGACCAGGAGACTCATCTTCTTCCAACAACACCAGCTCGGCACCCAATTGCTCCAAGGGCTAGAGGACATCCCAGCCGCTGGACACCCAACCAATTTACCGTGCAGGGACTCTTCTTCTTTGGCCGTTCAGGGGCTTGTGGAGATCTCGTTGCTTATGTTTTCTCCGGGGATGTGAAACTGGCATGCATTTCCAATGAATATTTCTTTCCACTTCACCTCCTTTGACCTACAGTGTCAGTGGGACCCTGGAGGTAATTATATTAGCAAAAAAAAAATAACAATGTGTTTTTTTAGTGTTTTGGTGAGCGCCTTACAATTCACTTAGCAATAACAATCGTGTGGCTATGAGTTACAGCCTATGCATTTGGTTTTAGAGCTTTTAGATGTAATGGTAACTGTAAACCTGAAGTATATTTCTGAGTTATTAACTTACACATAATTAAGACTTAACCTCTATGCACAATTTATTGCTCATTTTTTGCACAATTGTTTGCTGTGCACACATTCAGTGCATTGTCTCCCAACATCATACCATGTAATAGAGCTGTAAATGTCTACGTAATGTGAAGTTTTCACGTAGCACTGAGTCGATGACTGTCTATGTAAGCGTATGTATTGTGTTTTCACCATTATGATCAGTGAATGAAATGCCCTTTCCATGACTCGATTTTCCCTTCTTGTGTGAGAGTGACAAAACAAGAATAGTCCATCTAAAGTTATTCCTGTTCTCAATGTGTAATGTCGCATTGTTAAATATTTCTTTCAAATAATACACTGTTACTGTAATTTTTGTATTTATTTATGTATTATGTTGTTTACTAGCTTTGTTTTTTTTTGTTTTGTTTTGTTTCTACACATAAATTGGTCATTTATTGTGTTAAAATGTCACAATGTTTAGTGTATATGTATTCCTGTTGGCTATAGTAATCTAGTTTTTGCAAGCTGTACTATTCTGAAGTAAACATATAGTCACTGTCAGGCCAAAATCTTCTAAATAGTAACTTTACAGTAGAAGAAAAGAAGTTAATGTAATAAAATGTATTTCCGAATAATGAAACCGTTCATTTGAATTTATTATTTTTTATTGGACCATTTATGTTGAATTAATCACTATGCACTGTTCACACAATGTAAAGCTGGTGTTTTGAAATTATGAAAAAAAAAAAACCTACAAAAACGCAGAAGCAAGGTTTTGTCCCGACAGTGACGATATACATGGTGAAAAATGACAGCTGCTATGGCTAGATGAGAGAACCACATCTGCACAAGCTGGGTTTGTGTTAAACTTAATTACAGACTGCTGTTGTCTTGTTCCACGGACACTGCCCATAGGTCATCTCTGCCTTTCACAGACGAGTGCTGACAGTCTACCCCGCTTTTGTCACACAACCTCTTATTTTCAGTGCGTCTGTCACTCCTCATTTTAAGGTCTGTGTGGGGCCGCTTGGCCCAAAGGAAGAAAGCTGAATCTGGGGAGGCACTGTGGCTCTTCACTCACTTAATAATTAAATTGTGCTGAAAGTTGTCAAGACACATTTGTTCTCCCTCGCTGTTCATGTTTCCAGCTGTTGTGTTGCGATGCCATTAGTCTGTTCTCTGTAAAAATAATGCTGAGTTGTAAGCCATAAACATAGCTTTTTAATTGCTTATAATGGTAAAATGGTCAAATCTGCACTGGAATCCTGACCAAAAGAAAGATGTTTTATATGTTGGATTAATGTCATGTAATATTAAGTATAGGCCCAGCCGTAGGCCTACATCTTGCATGTTGGCAGGCAGAACCACAGGACAGGAGTACAATATTTTAAATTCAAAAGTAATGTTTTGCCTTCAGAGAAAGCCATTGGAACCGAATGTTAAATATTAAACATTTTTGAATCAAGTTTGTTTAAGAATCATTATTATTATCATTATTATTATTATTAGTCTATGTTTGGTAAAAACGTGTTGATTTAAGCAACCATAACCTTAAACACTCGAGAAAAGAAGACACCAATAGAGTGCAGTTTTGTAAAGGTTTCTCAAGCCTGATTTTCAAAAGCACAGTTCTTCATTTCCAGTTCTAGAGGATCACAGACTAGTACAGTTTATTTTCCTACTCGGGCTAACACATGATTCAAATCATCTGTTAATTGCCATTTTTATTAAGTGTGTTTGAGCATGGAAACCAACCTTCCAGGACTGGAATGGAAAAACCCTGTTTTGAATGAAGCTTCTTTGCCTTTATTATTTCTTTAACAGAGAGCCAGTAAATGATCTATAAATCTGCATGTTAGATTGATCTTTAGCTGCAATTTCACATGTAGTCATTTGAACGTGTCGGATACCTTCATAAATTTGTCCCTTTTTGGACAACAGACAACAAAACAGATACTTTTACTTATGTTAATGAACATTTTATTTTCTGATTTTTCCAGACAATATTAGTTTGCTTTAATTAGTTGGTTGGATGCATGATTCTCAGGAGTTCATCTTTCAGCCAGGTGACATTCAACTGAAAAAAACAACAAGGTCTGATGGTGGCCAACTGACCTCAGCAATTAGGGGACGCGTCACCAACAGTACTGAAAGTGAGGCCCACGGGCCAAAGTCAGCCTGTGAGGACGTTTCATTGGGCCCACCAGAAAGTTACCCTAACCCCACCCCTCACCCAAAAACATATTTTTATACTATATAAAACTAAAGTAAATTGAATTCTTATAATTATTTTATATATTTGTATTAAAATTGTATTTTTAAGTATTTTATTAACGTGATATGGTGTATTATAAAACATATTTAAAAAAACTTCAGTCCACCACTTTGAACAGCACTGGAAAAAATGTAATGTAAAAAAATAAAATTATTAATTCTCACTTGATGCATAGTATCCTGTTATTTTCCTACACAGTTATACTTCTGCACATTTTTGGTGTTCAGGGGCTTTTAATTATTTACATTTTCAAAATACAAAATAGGAAATACACAACATGCGTGCATTTCACTTTGGCCCCCCAACACTGATGAACCACTGACTGAGCCAGTGGGGCTAAAGGCTGGGGGGCATCAGATCACAAGAGTGGCTCAAAGATTAGATGAATAATTGATCTTAGAATATATATGACTAAATAAATGACTAAATAAATTAAACAAAGCCTCCTCAGCCTACACCCTGCCACCTCCTGCAAATGTGAAGTAAATCAGCAAGACCTTCAGAGGATTTTTACTTTCTTATAACAACTACCCACTTCTGATTGTTAATTGCTATTGGAATATTATCCTTTATACTGACATTGCAGAAGGCTGCAATCACAAATTAAATTTTTTATTGTGTGCTGTGGCCATTTTCAGTCCTAGGTGAGTATTATTGTAGGCGTTTGAATGAATAGAGATATTTGTGTAATTCAACAAAAGGGCAATTATTTAAAAAGAACAAAGGTCAGGATTTAAGTCATATTGTGTTTTTAATAAATTGCACAGCATACTGCAATCGCTATAAGTTATATAATTGCAATAGTAGTATCATGTCCATATTGTGTAGCCCTACTCACAACCATCTTCCATTGTCTCAGTATAAATTAACATCAAAAAATCCATACTTACTAGGCAGGTTTAGTACAAAGGCCCTTCTGTCTATCTAATGATGTGAATTTCTAGATCTGGGTCTCTAGGACAGATACACTGTAGATACTTGTCTTTATAACATTGTCTAGTTAAGCATTCACTCCAAAAACTCACTGGAGTAAATATGTTCCTCATTCACTAGTGCCTCCTGCTCTGGATCCATCTGGCCCATGTGGAGAAATCTCAGCTCTGGATTTGTACGTCTTCGGAGTGCCCTAAACACATTACAGCCTGATCTGGTGTGAGTATTATTCTGCTCTGACTGAGACGGGAGCTGAACAGTATTGCGCGTTCTGCAAAGATACTTATCTTTAGGCAGTCTGTTTCTTGTAATGTGGTCAGGATAGAGCTTTTCTCTAACCCATTTCCGATAACAGTTCTGGAGAAATCCCTCTGTTGTCTCCACCCAGTGGGAGCTCTCCTCCAGGAAATAACGGTTTTGCAGCACTGTATCTGTGAGAGTGTTTTGTAACTTCTTTTCTGATAAGTGGTAGGAGGTCTTGTTTATGCTAGAGTCCATGACCTCACCTTCTAGGATTAGAAGATTGGTCTGGGACTCTCTCAAGGAGCTGGTGGTTATGCTTTGAGTCATCTTGGAGGCCATCCGTTTTGAGAAGCTGCCAGAAGGTTTGTTAATGACTTGTTCAGTGGATAGGCTGTTTGAGGGACATTTTGAGCTTCTCCTCATCCATGCTGAAAGAAATCCACTTTTGGAGTTTACCAAGGTTAGAAATTGTCCTGTTTGGCAAGGTGCTGGTTTCTCTGCAGGGCTGAGGAAGTCTGGGTTTTCGATGATCTCACAAAGCGCAGGAACAGTGTTTCCGGAGCTGCTGTGTATCCTGTAATCATATTGATTAAGGCTTTTCTCCTCTTCAAGTGCATAAGGGTTGCAAATGACATGGTCAATTAGGAGCTGCTCATTTACTGTTCTTCTACATAGTGATTGACTTGGGCCTTGGGAAATCTCGCCAGAAACTGACCTATCAGAGAAACTTATATTCTTCTGACCACCAATTCCTGTTTGCATGTCCAGTTTCCCATCACCATCTTGTCTTTTTAACTCATTTGATAGAAATTTAGCCACATCATCATGGTGACCCGCAACAGCGTAGTCCAATGGTGATCTTCCCTTGTTGTCTGGAGTGCCTGGGTGAGCGCCATGGAACACTAGGAGGGTGATGGCATCCAGGTAGCCATGTTCGCTGGCCAGGCTCAAGGCAGTCCGGCCTGCAGCATCTTGTCTCTGAACATCCACCCCGCGACTCAGCAGCAGCTGCATGAAGCAAGCTCGCTCACTGGCGTGTGGTAACATGGAAGCACACATCAAAAGAGTTCGGCTGGCTGCTCCCTTGCTGTCCAACGATGCGTTTGCTGCTGCATCCCCCAGGATGAAATGCGCCAGCTGGACTTTTCCCTCCCTCATAGCCTGCAGAAAGATTCCAACACCAGAGCGCTGAACAAGGTGGCATTCCTGTACATTCATATGCGTCATCATCCAAAATAACCAAGAGCAAGCAAGAAAACAGAGATCCTACGTGTACACTCATGCGAGGCAGGTTGAGTCTGTCTAGGCTGAAGCACTGTCCCCGTGCCTAATAACAGTTTGATTGATGGCAGAGGCCCTAAGGCATATTGCTTTCTATCTCTCTATCCAACTTCCTCTCTCCATCAACGGCTCAATATTGTCCATTGTGCATTTGTCTGCTCTCATTGTTTGTCCTTTCCACTTGTCCCACATTCCATGTGCTCTACTTTCCCCCCTTTTCTCCATGAAGAGCGCGCCCTTCTTTCTTTAGCACTGCTTCATTGAAGTTATCCGTTTTGCTACAGTGACGTATTACCTGACAGGCCCTAATGTGGTCTCCATCTTAATCATCTCATGTGAAGGAGAGTGAGCAGTAGCTTGATGCACTGGAGGGTGAAATGCCTAATCTCCCTCGCCACAGACTCATCACTCATCCACGGAGCAATGCAATTCACTTTGAGCTCTTATCACATTAGAGGATAGAGTTAACCTCTTTGTTTCCTGGACACACACAAAATAAATTACACTGTCAAAGACTGAACATCTTTAATAGACTTAGTTTATGTCAGGACAAGTGGATCTACATCTTGTATTAGAATTGCTACCATCTAATCAGTTCAGCGATGCATGTACTGTCAAAGTCATTCGAAATAACACACTGTTCTCACTTAATTATGGAATAAGCCCGTCCAATTTTATCTTTATATTAAGAGTAATTATAGATAGTTCCGTACTACAGAAATATAAAAAGACTTGATCCCCAAGAGAGCTATCTTTTGGGAAAGTTGAACTGTGGACTGGTAATAACACCAAAAATAAGAATGACTTTATAATGCATTTCTAAAAAGTGATACATTTTATATTTAAACATGTTTAATACCATTAAAATATTACATCTAAGAATGGTAATGGGATAAAATTTAAAACCCAAAAGAGCCCTTTGTTAAAAATACAAATGAGTGACAAATTAAAGGAAAATCCAGCACAAAGTCAGCTTTAATGTGCCTTGGCATAGATTTTGATAGATAGACACCTCTCCCACCAGGTTGGAAATGGTTCATCATAAAATAAAGGTGATCAGTCAAAATAACTTTGTGTTGATTTGCAGCAACCTTTCCTTCTAAGAGGACACAAGCCTTGCTGACAAATGTCCCCCATAGTATAACAGAGCTTCCAGTCCCTCTCACTGTAGGGGTCAAGCATTCAGGCCTGTACTGTTCCCTTGGTCAACACCACATATGCACTCTCCCACTTGTGGAGAACAGGGTAAAGGATGACTCATCTGACTACATCACTTTTTTCATTTCTGTAGACCAGGGCTTGTGGTTTTTGCATCACTGAACTCTTAAATGTGTTTATATTTGGGTTTGAAATGAGGAGTTTATGCACCACAGCCCTAGTATAATATCCTGTATAAATATGGATGGACAGTTCTTGGATGGACAGTCTGATGATCAGTCACGTCCTGTGAAGGAGCAGAAGAGAACAGCAGCTGTTCCCCAGATGACTGACAACAGCTGCTCTTCTGTTTATATATATATATATATATATATATATATATATATATATATAGAGAGAGAGAGAGAGAGAGAGAGAGAGAGAGAGAGACTTTAGGGACGCGGTATGCAAAGTCTGTGCCGTAGCCCCTCCCCCCTGCAAAACGGACTGTGTTGTTGTTGTATTGTTTATTGTTGATTGTTTGTTGGGTGAGTTGTGTGTGCTTGTATTCTGTGTGTTATGGGGAGTCCGTGATGAGGGATGGTTTTTGGTAACCTCCTCCGTTGGGAGAGCATATATTTTATATATTTTTTATATTTTTATGCTAAATAAAAGAGCACTTTTGGAGCAGACGCCATGTTTGCAACTGCTTATTCTTATATACGATGCAGTAATAAATATGTAGCGAACATGCAGCGAACGGTAGGTGGCGGTATCGGATTTACCAGCTGACTAAAGCAATCAAGAAGAAGAAGGGCTGTTGTTGTCATGGCGCTGTTTTAAACTGTTAGAAACTTTCTCCATAAATGAAGCTGCTTTTTAGCTTCATATTTACCACTTAATAGGAACTATCTGACTGGTAGGGCAGAGACACATAAAACCTCTTGTTTTTATTATGACTTCTTCTTATGAACTGGTTTATATGTCTTAGACAGCCCGCTCGGCATAGATATTTACGGTAGCAATCGGTTTGTTTAGCTAATTAGCTTAGCAGAATGTTTGTGGTTTATTATATACAGTTAACTAGCTTAGATAACGTAGCTTTATTTTTGACAAATGGAGACTGTAGCTTAGGTTAGCTAAGTAGGCAACTAGCCCTCGTCAGCTGAGCTTGATGCCTCGCAGGTTGATTTAAATGTGCATATAAAAAGCTAACGTTAGATGAAGAATGTATCGATGATCAGACACAATCAGAAAGGATCCCCGATGTCGGCTGCTGAGCTGAGTAAGTACGCGAACAGCGGTGACTGGGTTACCAAACACAGTGTGAGCCGGAGCTCTGGACCTCAAACGCAGGTGAGGTTGATCGCAGACTTGTGCTTAAACGCCCACTGGTCATGTGTGCTGCAAAAAGAGTCTTTTGAACAGTGTGCAGTTTGTTTTTACAGTTTAATTTCCAATTAAGGGCTGTATGGATTGCTGAACATTATTTGTAGAAGCCTTAACAGTGTGTACATACTATATCAAACTATTTTATGTAAAAATGGAGGAACATTTGGTTTTGTATGATATGTGTCCTTTAAACAAAAGTAATTTGGGTGTATATGGTTAAGGATACCAAATGACTACCAATTTAACCAAGTGATTAGCTCACTAAAAAGCTCACTGTAGTTACTAAATAAACAAAGAATACTTCTGAAACTTAAGGTGGTTTGTTATTAAGTAGTAGGCCTAGTAGTGAAAACACAAATCCTACAACTAGGTTTGTATGCGACTAAATCTCTTTTTTGTTCAGTGTCTAACTCAGGGATAGTGATTGTCCTGCTCAGACAATTCTGATTCAACTCATCAGTTAATTGCCATATAAGCTGATATGTTAGAGGAAGGAAAACATCAAACTGTGCTGTACTCCACCTGTCAGTTCCTCACCCCTGGTCTATCTGAAATTCTTGACAAAAGAGGTTGTAGAGGTCATGTCTATAATGCTGAAAAGTTTAACATCTCTCTCTCTCGTTCTTTCCTTTTCCCTTTCTTCGACTTCTGTCCACAGCTTTTGTTTAATCTGGCCATGCCAGGCAGTGTACTCAACCGGGCCACCCGAGCGGGACCTCCGGCTCCTATTGTGATCGAGAAGCTCATACCTCATAGAGAAAGGCAGGATGATGGAGAGAGCTGTAGCAGCTCCTTACGTCTTTCAGTACTCTCTGAGGACCGACTGCAGGCTGCTGTGAGACTAGCTAAGAGAGACTTGCACAGAAAGCGGCAAGAGTCCATAAATAGCCATTTATCTGTGGATAGGTCTCCAAGTCCAGAAATCCAGAATAACACAGCCAACTGGCATGTGCTAGTGAGTCAAAACATGTAAATCAGTATTTTGTCATCAAATAGCAATATTGTCGAAGAAATGTTAACTTGTCTTTGTTATTTTTGATCCAAATTTAGAATGACTCTTCTCCTAAAGGAAAGCAGAGGACAAGCAGTCCAAAGAGGCAGACAAAGTCCTGCTCACAGGTGCTTGTATACACTCCTCAGAGGTTTTCTGTGACCACTGTGCCTGAAGGTCAGTCTCCTCCTACCAGGGACCCTGGCTTAAAAGATAGCAGAGGTGATCCACTGCTCAGCAGGGAGATCCACAAGCTGCAGAAGGAGCTGGCCACATACATCCAAAGGATAGAACAGCTGGCAAATAAAGGTACAGCCAGATATCATCAGCTCTCTTTATTCACATTCTAAAGAATCAGAATGGTTACAAAATAAGATGCTCTGTGACTGCATGAGCATGTTGTTGTTCTGTAGGGCAAATGGCAGAAACTGTGGAGCCGGATGAGAAGCGGAGGATGGAAATCCGTCGGCAGGAGCAGGCTGCCCGCTCTGCGCGGATCATCTATGTGTTACAGCAGCAGGTCTTTATATGGAGCTTTACCTTCTTATCAGCTCAGGTTAAATTGCATGGAGGTTTTTCAGTGAAGCATCCAACTTGGGAGTGTGCACACTGTTCTGAGTGGAGCATGGTGTCATCAGTACTTCTAGAACACTGAACTGTGTGTATCCTAAAAAGACAGATTTAGACAAATTTTAGAAAACCTAAACAACAACAACTAGTATAAATAATAATTCATTATAATGTAAATGGTCATGATGTTGTAACAAGTAGCTGATTGGAGTTGAGCCTGTTACAAAGGTTTTTTTCCTCCATTTCATCCAGTTATATTTTTATATATATATAAAATATATTTGTGTATTATGAAAACATCATGTATTGTGGTAGTATGTATTGTATCGTGATAGTTTGTTTTAATGCTTGAAAGTAATATTTTCAATAACAGATTTATTTGAAGCACAACATGGTTTTACAAGCTTTACAAGTAAATAATAGAAATTACACAATTCTGCACATTTTAACACAATTACTGTAATCAGCTGAATGTAGCACATTATTGACACGTTATGTCAAACTCGACAAATAAATATAAATTGTGCCTTATTCTCTCTATAGATGGTGTGTTAACTTATTTTCACTTTGAAAAACATGTTATAGTACCAAGGTGTTCAGACTTTTGCTTACAGCTGTATATTTATGTTAATTCACATACAGGTGAAAGAAATTCAGGAGGATATAGACAAGCTGCGGTCTCAGAGTGCAAGACATACCAAAAAGGTAAGTGGGCTATATGGTAGTAGTTGTACAGACGAGAATTGCACCTCTGATGATGCATTTTTTGAATAACAGATCTAAAATCACCTCACAGCTTGCTGAAAATGCAAGGTTTAATGTAGTACACATCTGGTCTAGTGTGGTGGATTATTTTTTTTCTTTTAATAAAAATGTCATAAATATGGGTGAAATGATACACTGAGCTCACGATTCAATTCGATTCGAACAATTTTTTGTTAACAAAATTTGTCTGCATTGTGATATTGTGATATCACATTGTCACGATATATTGTTGCACCTCTAGTCATAAGCAGTGGCAATAGATCTAACAGCCTTCAAAGTTGAATTTACGTTTTTATTCTGTTTGTTTGATGGCTATGAAATACCCATACTCAGTTTTTCCCTTAGATTTTTTTGGATTCAAGTAACGTGCTTTATGAGGAAACCAATTACCTCAGTTCAGATCTGTTTGTGCACAGTTGTGTGACACTGTGAGTCACTTGCCACATCTGTAGTATTCAGCATTAAGAAGAGCAAGTTCTGTCTTTAACCTTTGATGTGCAACAGAAGTGGTGTAAACGTCACATGCAGTGTGGATTGGCTTGTTTTATTGGTGTCCTCTCAGTCAAGGGCAGTGGATCGGCTGGCAGCGGCTCATCGAGGGGCTGTCCGAGCCATGCAGGTGTTCATCAACCAGCTGTCAGACCCTACAGAGAGCAGATTGCCTGCCCAGTGCAAAGAGCTGGGTCAGCTCATCCGGCAGCTCTCTCTCTGCTCTGCCAAGATGGAGGTGGGCCAGGGCTCAGCTGTACCGGAGACCACCTTGGACATCCTGCAGAAGTTAGAGGTAATAGGAGACCTTAATGTGCATTGCCGTTTTTTCGAAAATCAAACTGTATGAAGTCTGTAAGATTAAGATGTTTGTGCCTATAGAGAAAGTGCAGCCGGTGTGCTGGTAATCGGTTAACTGTTATGTAGGGCTGCAACATTTCATTGACAAAGTTGTGGAAAAAATGTCAACATGAATTTTTGTTGTTGGCTCCCTGCTAACTTAAAAACATAAGCACTCTATAATGCTCCATAAAGTTCATGTGGTGCTTGCTGTCATACTAACAGATTGCACTACGGGATGTTTTGGGGTGATGTGGCTTCTGTTGATTCTTTGCACCATAAAAGAAGAACTTGCATGTCAGATGGAACTTAAATGATAGTTGCAGCAAAGGGGAGTCAAAACAGTTAAATTAGTCGATTAATTGAGTCACGCTCAATAGGTTAATCAATTATAGAATAATGATTATTTGTAGTTATATAGACCTGTAGGCATTGTTTGTTCCTTGATTTGCCCCCCAGATGACACAACAGACCACCAGATGAGATCAGGGTGAAGACAAAGCTTTTTTTGTCTTAGTTTAGCAAGAAGCCTGCTGTTGTGACTTTGTTGCCTTTTTTTACTTTTAACACTTAGATCCTGGACACAGCTCTGAGTAAGCAGACAGGTCCCGAGGATAGGGAGCCACGAATGCGGAGTGCATCTCCCGCAAGACAGAGGTCACTCAAAACCAGAGCTCATAGCATGTCCCCTCCTCGTGTTCCTTGGGCCCTGGCTGCCAAAGCTCATCGAGGGTCGAGGAAGTCGGTAGCTCCAAAGAAGACCTTGACTGGTGAGCTGTGATCTCTTTAAGTGAATATCTTTGAGAGCCTCTCAGCTAATAATTAAAGAACTTGTCCTGTTTGATCTGGCAACCTGCTGATTAATGTTCATATGGGAAGCTCAGGCCAGTTTTACTAAAGTGAAAAGGACTGATCTTAGGTTGTTTTGGCTTGTGTGGTTAGGCAAAAGAGTGGCAGGGCAGCCCCAGAGAGCAGCCCAGTTCTTGAAGCAGGAACGCAGTGAAGTTTTGAAGGCTGGTATCCAGAGCCTGATGCAGCAAAGGGAACAAAGAGAACAGGAGAGTAAGAGCAGGCCAGAGCTACACACCCCCAACCCAGCCACTGGCGCAGCCTATCGAGACAAGAGCAAGGTAAGACTGCTAATCAACATCACTAAAGCTCTTTTACTCTAGTCCTTTAATCTTTTAGAAGAGAAATGCTGGTATTCAGAATAAGCAAGACAATATTAGTAACGGAGATGAAACTTAAAATGTATTGGATAACGATAAATCAGCCCTTGTTATTTGAATATTATTAAGTAAATTTCAGTAGAAAGATAAGAGGGCTGGAGTATCATGCATTGTCTAGACGTGCTTAAAGTAGAGACTGATCTTTTTTTTACCACAGCAGGGCACTCATGTTCGAGATGCTGGCTTCCAGCAGCCCACTGTTTCGTCCAGGCTTAGAGAAAGTCAATTACCACAGAAAGAGGTCTCTGTGCCCTGGATTCCCACTTCTCCTCATTCCCCTACTAAACAACGGTCAGTTCATAAACACACATACCACCATCCTTCTCCTTTTTAGGGATATGCCTTTTGATCGCTTTTGAAATGTGGGTATCTGTAAGAGTTAATGAACAGATATTTGGTTAACTGTTGGTAATAATAATGGCTGATATCACCATATAAGAATGGATCATTTTCCCTCTGCAGTTTAACTTTAAGCACTTGGCGGTACACGTGTTTGTGTAGACAAGTTTAGTGTTTGTCATGGTGTGCAAGTTATACAATGCTGAGCAGAGGGACATTTCTATTGGATAATCCTTAACTTTAGGCTGAAGTTATCTGGCCTGCTGAGAAATCCTGCTTTGTGGACTGACCTGTGTGTGTGTGTTTAGCAGAACTGTATCCAGCAGGCCAGAGCCAAGGTGTCTCTTCTCCCCAGGAAAGAGCTCTTCAGAGCCCACAGGTGTGCAGCCCCAAGGCCAGGGACAGGGCAAGAACAGGACCCAGCAAGGGGTAGCTGCGGAATCCATGCGACAAGCCCATAATGAGGCCCTCAGGTCAGACTCAGTTTGCGTACATACTCTGACGGCACGGCTAGTGTTTAGAACAGTGGTTTTCAAACAGTTGCTGCACATGGCAAGCATCGTCAGGCACGCACAATGTTAAGTTGCCAAGTATCATGCGAATGACAACAGAAGGGAATCACAGTCGCTGGGCTCAAAGCCTGTTTTTGCTGCTTACCACAAGCTGCATGCCACTAGAAGCTCAGGATGCACAATGATATTGGAATCATATTAAACAGAAAGATGTGTAGACTGATATTTCAAACCAGTATTTGGTGATGTATTCATTGTACTCTGGAAGTCAAGAATGTTTTGGTGATGTTGGGCTACTGTGCTAAAATGTATGCATTTTACTGCATTTGTAACCCTCTAAAAAAAGTGCTACATTTATCTGTTAATGGTAATCCAGATAGAACTAGTCCCAATTTGTACATCTTACATAGGTTAATATATCAGCATCAGCAGATATATTCATGAAAAATATTGGATATCAGTCCAGAATTCCTATATCGAGGGGGTCCTACTAGAAACATGAGCAAAATACTCCTATTTGTCCCTTGTGACTGATTATTTCCTGGTCAAGCTCCAGTGATTTTTATGCTGAAAGCATCAGTGGTCAGCACACAGTGCTGTTGTGGTAATCTAGCTGACAACATAGATCAGAATAGTTTTAAATAAGACATGTAATGCCTAACTAAATGAAGATAAGAGCTGAATGGATTACATATAAATATAGAACAAATAAGTATTCTGACTCTTACAAAAAAACAGGAATACTGAGTGAACTTAGAAACCTTTTGATGAGTTTATGTCTTATTTCACTTTATAAAATATTTGGTGGGTCTTGGGACAAATACTACCTCTACACTTGCATCCTGACATGAAAAAATTGGGGAAACCGTGTTTTAGACAGTGATTATCATTTTCCAGTTTTGCATACAAATGCAACATGTAACATAGTAATTAAGAAGAATATATATTAGAGTTCTGATGTTTGTGCTTTCATCAAGACTGCTGATCATTATCTATTCCAATATTAGCCAATATTGCAATATGATATTGTAGAAGGCTGCAATATTCAAATGAGCCCTCTGACCAATATCAGGCATTTTGAATGATTTTTCTGTGGTGATATGATTAATTAAGGCATTTGTGTGATCCAGCAAACATAAATAATTTTGGTCAAAACAATACCAGCCAGTCTTTCATGATGTTACATCAATGTTACATTAAGAACATTCTCCAAAATGTTCTTAATGTTGTAAGGCATATGAGAATAGCAGTGTGTAGCAGTATAATAGTATCTATAATTTTTGCTACTATTCTGATTATCCTGCTATCAATTGAACACTGATTGGTGGTAATGTATTTGTACCTTTGCAGAGGGCAAGTAAAAAACAAATTAGTTTAATTATTCCTGTAGGTAATATGCATTGAATTACTTTAAGTCATTTATTCATTTAAAACTGTGGTTGATGATCTCTACTTGAAGGAGGCCTCTGGCTACGCTCTTGATTCCAATTAGAAATGAGTCCTTGCGATAAATTGCTTGTAGATGCCCGCTAAAATGTGCCCATTCATTTATTTCAGTCTGAGACAATTTACGGCTGTTCCAGCTCTAAATCTATGTAATTATGAAGTATTTCAGGGCCTCATTTAGCTGCAATAATTATGCTGCAGTTATACCAGTGGTTTGCATTTTGTTGCAGGCTGAGGTTGTGCTTTTAATGGTAGTCTGACACATTTATGCCTAAATCCTATATCAGTGGTCACAAACCTCTGGGAAGTTTTTTATGGAAATCTGCTGTACTGCAGGGTTAAACTCTAACCAGAAGAACACACCATCTGGCTGGTAAAGTTGGAGCAGATATGGCTAATTAGTTGGGATGTGACAGTACCATGCATTGTACTGTATCAAATTGTATTGCGTTATGTCATGACCAGCATATTAGCTTAGGGATAACATAGCTTGTGGCTCAAGTGTTAGATTGGGATACTATAAAGCGCAACTTTTCTGTCAAATATTGTTCTTTTAATAGTGTTGAATGCTCTAGTATACTAAAAAATGAAAGGTTTAACATATTAACATTAGGTACATTTTCAGTCACTCCTTATTTATGCTGCAATTAAAAAATGTATTGAATCAAGACACCACTGTATCTTATTGAATCAAACAACGCATTTTGTGAATAGTAACGCCTCTACACATTACAGCTGAAACCGAACTTTGTGATGGTAGATCTTAAGAAGTGAGTTGGTAATCACTGCACTGGATACTATTGTTAACTTGGTCAACAGTTTTTCTACATTATTCTTGAATCTTTCACTGCAAACTGCCAGGTTGTTTGTTTTTGCTAAACTCCCAACTGCACTCTTGCTGTTTAATAATGTATCAAACATTTGGTTTTGACAGACCTAAAATTTCATTTTAATTTTGTGTATCTGATTGGATTATTGACACCACTTTGGTCCTAATGTGAAGGAACAGGAGCAGCAGACACCAGATGCAGTTGTCATATCTGGAATCAACTCGAGACCTTTTGTTAGCTCTCTTGTGCGTAAACTAATGATGCAGCCACACACAGCTGGCCGTGACACAACTGAGCATCAAAAGTGTCCAATTACGCATGCATGAGCAGACTGTGTACAAAAGGCTGTGATTCCAGATGTATCACAGATGTAAATGCCTTCAGTATAAACCAGGAGTTCTGCACTGTATTTTTATTTAGTCCTTTCATTTTAAATCTTGTGCAGGATTTTATTTCATTAGACCATCACTGTTATTAGATATTACTTAGCAGACTGTTAATGACACTGGCAATATTGTGTCGCAGAATGAATGTGAAGTATGTAAACATGTTGGCCTCAGGCCTAGAAGTAAAGAGTGTGTGTTTCTCTGTATGTGTGTGTGCAATGCAGGCAAGCCTGGCTGGATAGGATAACAGAAGACAGAGTGAGAGAGCTGAATCAGCTCAGCAAAGAGGAAACGGAGCGTATTAACAGACTCAGGTACAATGACACCACTCACTTTGTGTGAGAGCTGTAAATGGCAAGAATTAAAAGTACTATATGGATGGGATTAGTTTTACATTAGGAGGTGGGATAATGTAATTATTACTGATGTTTCTCAGTGATTGAAGTCCTGCCCAAATCTGACACGTCAGTACTTCTGAGCCAGAAAAGATTTTAACGGCTTTTACCTTAATAAATCCATTCTACCTCAAGTGTATGACTCAGAACATTAAAACATTTAAAGAGACAGAAAAAGGTTTATGCTGCAGTGTTGATTGTTGGCTGCCAAAGGCAGCTTTGTAGAATCCGATGATTGTCAGTGCGTTGAAAGAGTATTCAAAGAGAAGTCAAAACTTGATGAAGGATGAGGCTGTAAGTGAATAATCTACTTTGGTCATTATATCTTCATCAGTGTAATGTTGATTTTGCATTTGAGACCTAAACAATGTTTAGTTCTTTTTAAGCCTGTGCGTCTGACTTCAATATGAATAAACTGGTCCAAAATACTCTGACCTGATGCCTCTAAATTTCAGATGATTATTTCAGGCATTACAGGTTGACTTGCAGCAGTACATGCACACCATAATTTAGAGTGTTGTTTTTTTATCCTGATTCAGTAAAGCTACTTCTTTCACTGTTAACAAATAAGTACTACATAGCACAGCTTTAAATTAAACGTTTGTATATGTTTTCTGCCTGTGAGTTTTAATTGACTATCCTCTACTATCTGTGTAATTTATAACCAGATCTCTTATCCTGTGTGGGTCGGTCATACACATTACACATGTGGTAATAATTACTCTTCTCCCCATGTAAATCTAATCCTGTCTGAATAGAACTGAAGAGTGTGTTGCTGGTTCCTGGTTTACCTGCATATATTTGTGTTTGTGACACAGGACTGAGGTGGGTTCTCCAACAGAGTGGGCTGAGAGAGCAGAGCAGGCAGCTAGAGAAAGGCTTCAGCCTCTACTAGACTCCGTGCAGGTAACTGGCAGTGTCTGTAGAAACTCCAGTAAGCTCTAATTTTACCTCTGACAAAATGACTTAATATCAGACTTTCAGTTTTTATTTCAGTATGACATTTTCATGATTTAGGATTGCATCACAATATTTAGTTTTTTTAAATTGGTTTTGGTTTGATAAGTTGGAACAGAAAAAAAGCCCCAGTAGTGCTGCATTTAAAAATACTATCAAAAAACAGTACAATGATTTTTATTCAACATTTCACACACTGCACTGCACTAAATCCAATTAAACAGAACTAATTATGCTGATTTATAATCAAACATGCAGTTAGTTAGTGTCCTTGAAGTGTTGATGCTATCCACAGTGTGCTTAGAAAAGCATACTGCGATGTTTATCTTGGTTCAAAATCCATATTTGGATGAATGATCATTTTGCAATCATTTCAAAAATAACAAACTCAAGTTGCCTGTACTGTACCTCCACTGTGAGGACTGTGAAAAAAGTGCAAAACAACTGATGTGCATATCATCTTTATTTGTGACTTAGTAGAGTTTCTTGTGCATGTTCTAAATTCTGGTGTTTTGTAGTGTAGCGTATGAATGGATTCTTTCTCTCTCTAGCAGGTGGGTGAGGTACAGAACAAAAAGGGTTCGTCTTTTAAACAGCGACTGTTGGAACAGGCTGTTGATAAGGTATGGACCAACCCTCCTACAGTCTCTCTATCTTTTCCCTTCCGCACTGTCCTTTAAAATAGTTTTTAAGGACTTCAGGAAGATGTTTTAAGAAAATGACCACACTTAAAGAAGAGTCACTGGACTTAAAGCCCATCATTTTGTTTGCCTTGAATGAAAATCTGTGCACTGCTGTCATGCTGTGCTTGCTGGTGGGTTTATGTGTGCTCAGAGTGCAGTGAATGCGGATCTCTTGAGTGAGGCCATTCTGGAGGATCTACTGGAAGACACAGCTGCAGCAGTGTGGGCAGTGGAAAGGGAGCGGGGTGCTGAAGCCCAGGCACACAGACTGCTGCAGGAGCCCACACTGGAGAGCATGCTGCTACGCATGGAGGAGATGGAGGTCAGCTTACTGTTCCGCCTCCCTTCTTACAATGGTCATTCATTCCTGCTTTCATATATTAATTTTACTGCTTAAAGGCAGCAGCAGCAGCAGCAGTAGCAGCCAGTTTCTCATGTAGTAGATCAATGCAGGTACATTACTGCTCTTGTAACCTTTTGCTTGCTGTCAGTAATCGCAGATGAAGTTGCTACTGTTGCTATTACGCTGCTTGATTCTGTTAGTAGTAGTGACCTTTGTGGAATTATAACAGCCATTTACCACCCCCACACAGTGCTGAAAGCATGTACTCTTTTCATTTACTGTTAATTAAGGTGAAATGCTGAAACAGCTCAGTTCTGAATGTGTATTTATATTGTGTAATGCCTTTTTCTTTGTTTAGAAAGACCAAGAGGAAGTGAGGCGACGTTTTGCCATGATCTCTTACTCTGACCCGCTGCTGTGGGAAAGGGACACTAGTAAGTACAAAACATGAACATGAAAAGCGCAAACCTACAAGTGCATGAAGGAGTGCTTGCCTAATTAGTAATCTTGGTTCAGACTGTTAGAAGGTCACCTTCTTTTTTTTATCTTCTTCCAGCACTGTACCTCTTTGTAAAGATTAGGCAGTCTATGCGGGATGTAGTCTATATTCCACTGCTACTGCTGCTGCTACTGTTACTACTACTACTTACTACAACAACAACAACAACAACTACTGTTGTTGTTGTTGTTGTTGTTGTTGTTGTAGTTGTAGTTGCCTTTTTTCACTTTACAGTAGCATGATATAATATAACAACAGCAACAACATAACGTCCCAAAAACAAAGGCAATGAAACAACAACGACACACAGTATTATCAGCTATTATCCACTTTCTGCACAAATTGCAAGTGACAAAATGAAAATGCGTAAGATAAAAGCTTTTGATTTTTGCTGCCCAGAAACTTGTTTCCATCAAATTCACTTTTAGTAATTAAAAATGCTTCACGTAGTAATGACGTATATATTTGACGTTTCCATCTCCAAAAGAAAAGCCACTTTGAGCGAGTCTTAGCACATAAAAGAAAAGGAAACATGAATATTGACTAAGAGGATTCTCCTAACCCTAATTTACCTAATTGATATCAGAGGCTCTTTTTTTCAATAACCTGTTCCAGCACAGCAGGTAATATAGTAACACCTTAGAGAAGCATGCTGAAACAGGAGAAAATAAACGCACTCAGAAACTTTGCTCTTGCTGTGGTTTGGTGGATCTTGCCCTAAATTTAATAGCTTTTGCTTTTACAACCTATAAATTGCTCCTAATTAAAACAATATCAATAAAACAATAACAATAAAACAGATCTTACTGTGTTAAGTTAGTGTATAGGCTATTGTTATTGTAGCCTATTATATTTATTTTTCTATTGGGCTGGGCTTTATTCAGTTGTTCAATTTTTAACAACTTGCAACCACAATATCAAAATCATTAATTATCTAAGCCCTCATTAATGTTTTGTTAGGTACGTTCTGTGCTGTTCAGCCAGCTCTTTCATAGCCTGATAGAAGAGAAAGAAAGAAAAGTGTTGCCTTGTGCTGCTATATAATGTTTGAAGACAGACAACATGTTAGTGCTGCTTTACAGTTCCCTCCTACAAATATTCACACTCCTGCTTAAGATGAGCAAAACAGGCTGTAAAAAACATTCTTTATTGCTTATCCTTTTCATCTTTCAAAATTTTAACAAAAATACAAGTACAATAATTAAAAAAATATATTGAAAGAAAAAAAAACTAAATGTTGTCATGAAGTACATTTTTTTTTCTCAAATCTATGTGTGCCACAATTGTTGGAACCCCTTTTCTGGGGTCCTCAATACAGAATCTCTCCAGATCCTTCAGATTCTCCACGCTTGTGAAGTCTCTCTTCAGCTCATCCCTCAGGGTTTCTATGGTTTAGGTCAGGAGACTGGGATGGCCATGGCAAAACCTTGATTCTGTGGTCAGTGAACCATTTTTGTGTTGATTTTGATGTGTGCTTTGGATCATTGTCCTGCTGAAAGAACCAACCAAGGCTAGGTTTAAGCTTTCTGTCTAAGGCAGACAGGTTTTGATTTAATATCTGCTGGTACTCAAGTCCATGATACCATGTGTCCAACCAAGTTGTCCAGGAGAAAACAGATCTACCACCATACATCACAGTGGGGATGAGGTACTTGTCTGTATGAATATTTTTGTGTCGACGCCAAAGTTCTATTTTGGTCACATCTGCCCATAAAACACGGTCCCACTGACAGTACCAGCAACAACTGGCAAATAGTAGGCACCTGAGTTTGTTGGTCCTTGACAGGAGAAGCTTTCTTCTAGCAATCCTCCCCAACAACTTGGGGTTATGTAGCTGGTGTCAGATTGTAGTTCAGATTGTAATTCCCCAGCTGTGGAGATCCTTGGAGATTCTTGGAGATTCTCAAACCATCCTACTCACTGTGTGTGGGGTCAGTATAGACATATGTCCTGGCAGATTCTTAACACCTGCAGTTCCTTTAAACTTCTTAATCATTGTCCTTATAATGAAAATGGGCATTTTTTTGGTCTTTAGCTACTTCCTGATTTGTGCAGCTCAACAACCTTTTGTCTGACATCATGGCTGTATTCTGTGGTCTGTCTCATAGTGATGGATGACTAAGGGAATGTGTCACCTCATATTTATACCTTAATGAAACAGGAAGCTGTGGCTGATATTTAAGTGTTTCTGATTGCTCAGGTAAATTTTAAAACATAAAATATTAAAGGGAATATATTTTAGTTAGTTTTCACTCATAAGAATTTCTAATGGTGCCAACAATTGTGGCACACATGGATTTTAGAAAAATATTTATTTTATGATGAGATTCATTTTTTTTCTGTCGGTCATTGTATTTTAAATAAAAGTTAGATTTTTGTTAATATTGTGAATAAAAGATCAAAAGGATAAGAAATAAAGAAAGTTTTGTAGCCCATTTTGCTCAGGTTTACTGCGTGCCAACATTCTGTAGGACTACGCTGTCTTCAGATTACATCATTTAATATAATTAATTTTAGTGCCTCTGTGACATTTGAATTCGCCAACTTGTTGGCCATCATAGCTGCTATTGGCATTTCACAATACTATTGTCAATTGGCTCAAGCCTAATTCACAAGCCAGGTCCATGAGGTATTTTTTATCTAAAAATATCTGATATGAACAAGCCAGAGAAGGAGAAGTTTTGAAAAAAGAGGAAGAAAAAGATGTATATGTGTGTGTATGTGTATTTACTCTTTGTGGTTGATTTGCTCGTGTTGTCCAGAAGGTGGCAGCATTGTTGAAACAAGCAGTCCTCTCCTGTTGCTATCTCAGGAACCCGAAGGAAGAGCAATAGCTCTAGGCCAGCATCCCCACAACCCATCAGACTGACCAAACCAGCTCCAAGACCCTCCACCACGGGCGACATCGTCCTGCAGAATCCAGTGGAGACTGGGTGAGTGAGTGTGAGATAATGTTCAGAACCTAATAATCTTACACTTTTTCTTCCTCTCTGTCAGATTAGTGGCAGCTGATACAGAGGTTTAATGTTCAGATTTTGTTAGCTCACTTTCTGTAATAGATATGAGTGATAGATAATTTGTTTAAAAGAGATTGACCAGCAAAATGATCAAGGCTTTCCCACAAATTGTTTATGATTCGAGGAAACAGCATGATGCATCATTAAACCCATCATCATGTGCAAACAAGATAGCTCCATAAAATGGAATCTAACAAACACCCAGTTTAATGTATCATAAAGCAATTAAAAAAGAAACAAGGAAAATTGTTTACAGTAATTGGTCTCCAGTTGACTTGCAGCAAGGAAACAGTGTGTCTGCAGAGAGATTGTTCCATTTTCTTTTTGCCTTGTAATGTTTGTTGGTGGAATAAACAACAGCAACAAGAAAATCAAATAAGTCCCAAAATATCTACTGCTATTGGCCCAGGCTGCCTTCTGTAGCTCTGCCAAGCGAGAGAGAGGGAGCGAGTCTGAGACTGGCTTGTGCCTTTGCCCAGAGCCCTGGCAGCAGCTGCTGCTGCTTCAGTTAATGAGGATGCTAAAAGAATGCAGAGAGAGCAAGAGACCGAGAGTTGAAGTGAGCAGGCATGTCAGCAAGATTTAGTGGACCAGATTCAACAGTTACATTAGGAGATTAAAGCGCCCCTGCCTGCCATACAGCTTCAGTCAAGAGCTCCCAGACTGCTGAAAAGTTCAGTGTAAACACTGAGCTTCTTTTATGTCTGAACTCTAGAGCTACTCATCGACACAGTTTAAACCAGTCTGCTTCAAGTTATGCAGGGATCATGTGCGTCAGCAGGCTTCTCAAGCGTACAACTGCATTCTAAAAAGCAAAGATGCGCAGAGAGCGCTTTAGGTTTTCAAATCCACAGATGCTCAAAGTGCGTGAAAGCATTTCCACACTACAGATAACAACAAAGCATCTGCTATAGAAATCCTTGTGCAGGCAAACACAACTGTGAGTTCTGTATAAAAAGTGTTTGTACAACACAAAAGAGCATCTGTCTTTTTATGTTTTTCAATGACCCAAAAAACAAAACAAAAAAAAAACCTTTTGGTATAACACTCTCACTAGAGCCTAGACTGAGATTTCCAAGCAGGTGTTCCATTTTTCTCTGTTAAATACAGTGCATACTGACTTTGTTGCAGAAAAGGAGCTTTTCCCATGAGAAACAAAAGTTTTACAAACTCCAAAAGAGCTTTAAAATGTGCTTGAAGTGTGCCATTTTTGCAGCTCCTGTGTAGGACAGATTTGACTTGAAAATTTTGTCATGAATATTAATTCAAAGGAGCTAAAAATTTCAACAACTGATAATATTGGTCAATAATTTATATGATAAAAAACATTAGGCAGACTTCAGCAGTTTAGTTAAACAGTGCTTTACTGAAAAATGACAGTCTTAAATGGCCTAATAAATGATAATAAATATTGAAGTGTCAGGGGTGGAGCCTTGCAGCATTCTTATCACCATAGCAACGCAGACAAATCTCGCCTAACCAGCAGCTAACAAAAAGGCAAAGCGAAAGATTTAAGCCGAACATCCATAATTCAGAGACAAATGGACTTATTTGCATTTATAATCACTCCAGATGATTTTCTGATACATATAATCTGCAGCGAGAAACTGCAAAACACTAAAAAGTCACAAAGCTGTAACCAACTTCTCGTTCACCAGCTTCTTGTTTGAATTTTCCCATTCCACCTTAAATGGTGCAGTGGTTACATTTAAAGTGGAAGAGGAAACTTCGAACAAGAAACTGGCGAATGAGAAGCTGGCTTTAGCCTCGTAAAAAGTCGAGCGTTAAGACACTTTACAAGAAACTATTACAAGAACAGTATCCTGTTGGAGATGCAAGATAAAGCTGAGCTAAAGCTTAAAGCAGATCAAAGTTAATCTGAGTTTTTTTTATTTATATTATACTTTTTAGCCTATACGAGGAAATTAGCACAGACTGAGACATATTTACAGTCATGATGGTAAAACGTTACTTCTTTTCCAATAAACAAAGTAAGCCTTAAAATCTCTGCTTTTATTGGCCAGCTGATGTTTTAGTTAGGCCATACTCTAGGGCTGGGCAACATGATGATATTTATCAATTCTGTTGGTAATTTCAGCACAATATATCATAGCATGGTTCCTGAGCATATTGTGGATATTAGGGATGAATCGATCCCAACACTGTGCTTATTTACTTGTGATACCAACATTCTGATATCTGCTGTAAGGTAATCCAAGTGTAGCTGCTAATAAAACAAACTCGGTGAAGGAGACTCTGCTCTCACAGAGAAGAGTTACTGCTTCTGTGACAGTTGGACACCCAGCTCTCGGCCACTTTAAACAATCCGACTTGGCAGATTCCCACCAGGTCTACACTGTGTGATTTTAGAGCGTGTAAACACAATCACAGCCGCTTCCCCAATACGAGTGGAGTCACGAAGGCTAGCGACATGGAGATGGGGAAAAAAAGTTGACAAATGCTGCCAAAGTCCGACTTAACTCTGTTTCACTGAATAAATTAGTGAGGTATAAACGTTAATATGGTAATTATTTTTTGTAATATAGGCTGTAGAGAGACCATACTGTCCTACTGTGTACATCACCGCCTGGTTTAGCTTCAGCGCTCAGCATTAGCAATGCTTCTCAGTTTCTCGTTGCTCATTACTCGGCGCACAGCTGTTTTGAATGAAACAGCTTTATTTAAAATTGTTGAGCTGTGTGTAGAGGTGTGTGTAGAGGCTGCGTTGTACATAGCGTGGAGTGTTTTTATACAGTGTGAGTGTATAAATGTTAGGCTTTGTCCATACATGATGGTCTATTCACAGGCTCACAAAAGATTCCTAAAACACACAGTGTATGTCTGGGTTTAGAGGACATTCAGCTACAGCTCAACCAGTGAAGACAAAAAAGTCGACATGTGTGCTCCCCAGATGTGAGTCCTGCTGATGCTGAGCTATAGAGACTGATGTTAAAAGATACAGATGAGGAGCAAAACAGCCATACAGAAGCGCTTTTCAGCCGTGGAACTAAACCCAGTCTTCTCCACTGTAGCGCTACTCAGTGCAGGGTAGTGTAAATAATATAGCATAGCTGGCTAATGCACTTAGTTTCCAAGCACCTAGATTTAACTTTTAAGGTTGCACACGTTTACACCAACAACTACTTAATTCTATGTTGGTTTCTCAGAATGGCATTGGACTCACTAGTACTTAAATAATACTGACATACTGCATTACAATGAGAACATATTTCAGCACAGAGTGTGAATTTTTTTTAGATGTGGCATCACTGGTTCTTTTTTGTCCATTCCAACTTTTCAGACATCACAAAAAATAAATATGGTGACACATAAAAGTTTTGTGGAGGCTCCATTTCCTCATGTAACATGTATGCATTAGATACTGATTTTGTGATTACTGTGGTTAGGTGCTTTGCTGTGAGTATGCAGTAGACGTTGGCGCTATCTCTGGTCACTGATCAGCAGTCCGCTCTTTCCACTGCTGGTGTGCTTCTGAAGAGCGGTAGCCTTTTTCCTTGGCTCTGTCATAAAGGGAAAATTGTCTGAGCCGACTGCATCGTCTTCATTCCCTGACACTCTGCTGATAAAAGGACAAGGAGAGTGCATCCTAATCCTCTTATGGCTATGTTTGATTCACCACGTCAGTCGTTCTGTCAGCAAACATCTGCGGTCTGCAGAGCCAGTGTGACAGGCAGCCAACTGAGAAATAAACCACATTCCTAACATGGAACCAATTTTAAGTGGCTCCTTCGCCCTGTATTTAAAGGAGAAATGAGCCAGATAATATAGCAGAAGTAATTTTGTGTATTTAGTGTAGAAAAATGTTTAACTTGTCGAAAAGGGAAAACATCCAGACTGTCAAATTAGTGTGAGCCAGAGCTATCATTAGAATTGTTTTTGTTCAGTTAGTGGCTTACAGCTGCAGCACAAACATTGATTGTCCAGGATTACCCCATTCTGTGAGGATTCTTCATTCCTTTAGACTTTAGTGAGGTTGGAAGACAAGCATTCGCAACAGTGGTGTGAACGATTAGGATGCCTGATGCCTGTCTGGCCAGGGTGACTGACTGCAGTTCTGCACTAAAGGCAAAGCTGCACTCCTGGCAGTAATCCACCCAGTACAAACACAGAACACAAGGGAGGCTTCTGCTAGTTTGAGCTGATGCAGAGGCTGGCAAAGAAAATTGCTGTATTAGGTTAACACTTACAGTGACATTGAAGGCTGGTGTAAATATAGACTATACACTGGAGACTGGATACATGTTTTCAACACTGTAGGCCTTGTCTGCGGTGATTTTGTTGTGGGCAACATATGTTGTGGAATAAGGAATAAAAAAAGTTTGTAGCCAGAATAATATTGTGTTCTGATTAGAAAGAGAGCTGTTTAGCTGTTTCAAATGAAAATTTGGCATTTCCCAGTGATGCACCAAACTGAAAATTCTTGGCGGAAACCAAAACTGATATTCAGGACACACTGGGCCGAAAACCGGAAAAAGCTGACAATGAATAAAAAACAGTTAACATAAGTAAAATTAAATGTTAACTAAAGTTATTAAACTATGTATTTAATATTTGAGGGGTTATTCGTTAAAAATGTAGGCCTTTTTTATTTGTCTTTACTGTCTCTAATCTAGGTCTTAGATTTTGACATTTAATTGTAGACCTACTGAATCTTTTTTGGTTGTCTCATTTGTTTTTTGTTTTTTTTTGTTCAAGAATTTTAGCCTTTATTCTCTTTCCATTCCCAATTTTTACCGAATATTCTCTGTAGTTGAGTTGTTGGTGCATCCCTAGTATTTTCTTCTGCTGTCCAAACAGCAGGGTCACTCGCTGTCTTCAAATGCCAACTAACAGTCCATCTCTTTGAAAAACACTTAAATAAACATTAATCTTGTGCTTATTAAAGTATCTTTTTT